GTTCGAGAGGCTGGAAGTCAACGAGTCGGCGTGCAAGACGATTTATAATGGGCTCTCGAAAACAGCACGTAGACGCGGCTCAGAAGGGAAATCGGCCTGAAGTTCTTCAAGAGAACGTTGTTGCCTTTTTTGAAGAACAAGACTACCGCACTTCTGTTCCACGCCTTCGGAGTAGTACCACCATGGAGGACAGAATTGTAGAGCTTCTGAAGGACTTTAATTCTGAAATTTCAGAAGCTCTGTTGTAATTCCATCCTCGCCCGAGGACTTGCCGTTTTTAAGGTGCTGGAGAGCCATTCTAATCTCGCTCGGACTGACGTCCGGGATATCATCGTAATAGTGTCGGATAAGACTTGCTCTTGCATAGTCACACACTTGCGCTCCAACGATGACGTGTACAACTGCCCATAGAACCTCTCAATCTCACTTAGAACCTCAGTTGTCCCGGAAACGATGCTGCCACATTTGTTCTTCAGCTTTGATAGTTGGCTCTTTCTGACAGACAGATCTCTGGCAAAGACTTTGGAGTCCTGGTTCCACTCAATCGTTTCTTCAATACGAGCTGTATTAAAGTTGCGTAAGTCCCGCCGCATGCATTTGGAGATCTGTCTGTTCAGTTGCTTGTATGCTGTCAAATCTGCTGAAGCCAATCTCATTTTTTGTCGAACCGTCGGGGCTCGACCAGGTCCACTTTCTGTAGGGCCGCTATTGGAAGAAAGAGTATAACATAAATAGTCCCTTTTTCTCCATAGTCAGCCAATTACTGGCCCCTTGGGTTTCGTTGCCCTATTCCGAATTTCCCTACTTTCAGCTGACCGTTCTCTATTGTGCCTAGTTTTGCGTTGGAGTCTCCCATTAACACCGTATAGTGGGTTTTGGAACAATGTATGGCTCTAGAGATATCCTCATACATTTCCTCCACCTCCTTATCCGGATGTACCGAGGTTGGTGTGTAAACCTGTATGGCCTTCAGCGAATACCGTTTGGTGATTCTTTGTATAAGGACAACCCTCGTCTACACACTCCCCATCTTTACTTTACTTTTAAACGTTGTTAACGAGAGACTTGTGGACGATAACTTCGACATTTCCTTGGGACAGATGGTCATCCTCCCGGTGATAGAATTAGATACCGGATTCGAGGATTACCGTATCCTCCCCCTCTCTTCGGACCTCAGATAATCCTATAATATCCCAGCGCAACTTGTCTATCTCTTCTTCCAGCTCCAGGATCTTCTCGTCAGTCCTCGGGGTGCGTGCGTTATATGTTGCCAGGTCGAGTCGTCTTAGGTGGCAGCCGAACCTCCATCGGAGATTCTTAGCACCCACTACCCCGCCGTTGGTATAGTCACCACCGTAGCCAGGAATAGCGGAGTCGCCGAGGACTGGGGGCCGTTTCTTTGTATCGTTGTTCATTGCGGGTATATTGCCATAGGTGCCACGCTTGTTGAGCGGGTTGGCGACCGCAGTTTTTTATTGCTGTTTTCTGTTATCGGAAAGATGCTCCTGCTCATTTTCTGCCTCAGTTTCCTTCAGTCGCCTCGTAAGACACCCACGGGAAAATCGGCAATTAAATCTCGCCAACTCAGTGCTTGTTCACACTACATCTCGTTTTTAGTGATTATTGCTGAAAACATCAGGAGTATCGAGAAATATAAATTGTCTTTAATATTTTCACGTAGTATTGTGTGTTCTCATTTATCTTTGTTGCAAATGTAATATAAATTGGGTACCCTCATAAGTAAACGAGTTTATTACTTCTCTTTTAGCACTAACGTTATATTATAATATAGATTTTTTTGTATACACCACGGCAATATTCCTATAAAATACAAGAAAACATAAATTAAGTAAAATATGTAACTATATATTTTGACCCGGGCAGTAATAGATGGCTTGATTACTGTTCATGGGATAGTGAAGAATATTTTTATAATATAATAGCCTTCATTATCAAAATATTATAATATTGATACACTGTGGAGAATCTGTAGAGATTAATATAGAATAAAAGAAATATTTAAAAAAAAACGATTAAAGAGGCTATGTATATTTTTCTGAATGTCGATGTATTAAATGAAATTAAACTGTTTACTGTTAGACAGATCTCCAAATGCATGCGGCGAGACTTACGCAACTTTAATACTGCTCGTATTAAAGAAGCGATCGAGCGGAACCAGGGCTCCAAAGTCTTTGCCAGAGATCTGTCTGCCCGTAAGAGCCAACTGTCAAGGCTGAAGACTGAGTGTGGCAGCATCGTTTCCGGGACACCTGAGATTTTGAGTGAGATTGAGAGGTTCTATGGGCAGCTGTACACATCATCGTTGGAGCCACACGCAAGTGTGAGTAACGATCCAAGAGCAAGTCTTATCCGACACTATTCCGATGATATCCCAAACGTCAGTCTAAGCGAGATTAGAATGGCTCTCCAGCACCTTAAAAACGGCAGGGCCCCAGGCGAGGATGGAATTACAGCGGAGCTTCTGAAAGCGGGTGGAACACCGGTACTTGAAGTCCTTCAGAAGCTCTTCAATTCCGTCCTCCATGGTGGCACTACTCCAGAGGCGTGGAGCAGAAGTGCGGTGGTCTTGTTCTTTAAGAAAGGCGACAACGCTCTCTTGAAGAACTACAGACCGATTTCCCTTCTGAGCCGCGTCTACGTGCTGTTTTCGAGAGTCATTACGAATCGTCTCGCACGCAGACTCGACGACTTCCAGCCTCCCGAACAAGCCGGTTTCCGAAAAGGCTTCAGTACCATAGACCACATACATACCCTGCGGCAGATTGTACAGAAGACTGAAGAGTACAATTTGCCACTTTGCCTGGCGTATGTGGACTATGAGAAAGCCTTTGATTCCGTCGAAATTTGGGCGGTGCTGCAGTCCCTTCAGCGGTGCCAAGTTGACTGTCGGTATATCGAAGTGCTGAAGTGTTTGTACAGTAGGGCTACGATGGCTATCCGAGTACAGAACCAGAGCTCGAAACCTATCCAACTGCAGAGAGGTGTAAGACAGGGTGACGTTATATCCCCGAAACTCTTCACCGCTGCTTTGGAAGACGTTTTCAAGCTACTGGACTGGAAAGGATACGGTATTAACATCAATGGCGAGTACATCACTCACCTTCGATTTGCCGACGATATAGTCCTTATGGCAGAATCGCTGGAGGACTTAAGCACTATGCTCAATGACCTCAATAGTGCCTCCCAACGGATAGGTCTTAAGATGAACATGGACAAAACAAAGATCATGTTTAATGTCCATGTCACACCTGTGCCGGTAGTTGTTGGGAGCACTATGCTCGAAGTTGTTGACGAGTACGTTTACCTGGGACAAATAGTCCGACTAGGTAAGTCCAACTTCGACCGAGAGGTCAATCGACGGATTCAACTCGGCTGGGCAGCGTTCGGGAAATTACGACACATCTTCTCGTCAGGTATACCTCAATCTCTGAAAACTAAAGTGTACAACCAGTGCGTGTTGCCAGTTATGACTTACGGATCAGAGACGTGGTCCTTCACTGCTGGCCGTATGAGGACGCTCAAGGTCGCTCAGCGAGCTATGGAGAGGGCTATGCTCGGAGTTTCTCTGCGTGATAGACTCAGATATGAGGATATCCGCAGTAGAACCAGAGTGACCGACATAGCACAACGGATTAGTAAGCTGAAGTGGCAATGGGCCGGCCATATAGCTCGAAGAACCGATAACCGATGGGGAAGAAAGGTTCTCGAGTGGCAGCCTCGTACCGGTAGGCGTAGTGTAGGGCGACCCCCCACTAGATGGAGTGACGACCTGGTAAGATATGCAGGAAGTCGATGGATGCAGGTGGCTCAGGACCGTGCTTTGTGGCATTACTTGGGGGAGGCCTATGTTCAGCAGTGGACTTGTGAAGGGCTGTGATGATGATGATGATGATGAAACTGTTTAAAATATTATGAGCACGCACGACGAAATATCAAAATACTTATTTCCGGTATAACCTGGTCCAGCGCAGTGCTGCTTGCCATATTGCTGTTCAATAGGTGGGATCTTATTATGCTGGAAATGGGTAGCTAGATATGTCCTCGTGAGTACAATTTTACAATTTTTCAATGATCTACGTGAAACAAATTCTTATGTTACAAATCGTAAAAAATCACTTTGTCTGTAGTTCGTTCGCTCATATGTAGTAAAAAGTTGAGAAACTGAATCTTCTTATTATACCAGCCTTCTTATAGCACCATTTTTATGATAATAATTTTTTTTTTATAAGAGAATTTAAACAACATTGAAAAGAAATTCAGTGTTATTTTTTCATATTTGAAAGTTGTGGCGAATGTTGTAAGTTACATATTTAAAAAAATAAATAACATTTCCATGTTTTGTAATCTGCACCATGCTATAACGCGAAGATTATAGTATTATTTTAATACATTGGTAAGTTGTGAACTTTATAATATCACAACTTACTAACGGTATATGCGTACAGCCTCCTTATACAGCCTTTTAGCAACACGATCCTCCTTGCTGTACTAGGAGAATTGTTACAATGGCCAGAAGAACCAATATACTGTCATTCTACGAGTCCTAGCATTCCTAGAATGACGAAAGTGGAAACTCTCGCGCACGGCACCGAAAGTGAACTTTATAGTGCACGAACGAGTGGGGGTTTTCGATATATCCTCAATTCCACCTCGGTGCCATCGAATGACACTCCGTTATTGATGGAACATCTAGCTCACTCTCAATCCATCTGGTATTTGATAGAGCCCGCCGTCATGTATGTAAATTCGTTGATTGTGTAATAATCGTATATGTTAAATAATGAGCGATATGAAAAGTATATTTAGTATTTGGAAAGTGTGGTACGGTTGAGTTACCCTGGGTCGCGCTGTAGACGCACGCGCACGTTGCGCGGGCAGTGCGGCGCGTGTGCGCGCACGGGAGCGTGTACGTGGGGCGCGGTAGCGGGCGCGGGGGCGGGTGCTGAGGCGGAGGCGGGCGCGGCCGGCGTGCGCAGACGTCACGCCGGCTCGTCCAGCACGGCCACGCCCGCATACGAGCGCGCCACCGACATGCCGCCGCTCAGCGTCGTCCAGCTCTCCGTCGCCGGATCGAATACCTGTCATATTATTTTTAAATACTACCAATGCTACTAAAATTCCATTAATATTATTATTTTATGTTTCTTAACGATTAAATATTCCTTATGCATACACGAACACTATAAATTCAAATGAAAGTAATTTTTACGGATTTCATCGCGTATTTTAATTTATTTTATATACGATCAGGGAAAAAGTTTCTTCATACTTTATATATATATTCAAGACATTATTTCTTCAACATTTACATTTACAATAACTATTACATTTAATTATAATGTACTGGACGACTATTTTTACCTTCTGGAAAATAATATGATGTTATGTATAAGAGAAATAGAAGCTATCCTCGATAGTATTTGTAAAATACAACAAAATATAATTAGACACCAAATTTCCAAATATCCAAAAAAGACATAAAAGCAATTCATTCTACGGCGTTTGCGTAAAACTAAAAATAGGCTACGATCGCTAGCGAATGAAAGTTGTAAGAGTGAGCGAGACGCATGCACATCTTTCATTATGTAGACGCCAGGCAGCCAACTGGGAGGGGAAAGGCTGACACATCGTTGCAGCCAATATTTTTAGAATCAGCTAACACGCGTCTTACGTATAGAAAAAAGTATTTTTCTCTTATAAGTATATAGGCACTTTTAATATTTATTTTTGATTTTGGCTGCCTCGTTGGTCTAGTGGTTGTTGTAGTGTGACATCTGATCATGAGATCCCGGGTTCGAATCCCGGGTCAGGACAAAAAACAATTTATTGAGTTTTTCCTTTTAAGAAATTCTCAATAGCTACCCGGAGTCACGAAGTTGGCGGTGTTTTATCCAAGTGCCTCGGAAAGCGCGTAAAGATGTTGGTCCTCCGCCTGATATCCTCGACTTTTTCGCGTATGATGTCAACGACCTTAAAACGTTCAGTGGTGGCAAACCTCCTAGTACTAGTTACTGCCTACTAATGCAAGATCAGCATGTATTGGTTATTAGTAAAATACTTGGTCGATAAAAGAAAGTTAAAATAGCAGCACTTCTCATTGTCACTCTTTCATTAATAATGTCGTCGCGTGTCGCATGTTTGTAAATGGCAAAAAAATGTGAAACAGAAAATGGTAAGTAGGTAAATTACCTTTCATTTCAGATTATTATTTTTGTGATTTCGATTTTGCCTTCATACTTTTACGTGCTTAGGAGCGTTTAATAAGCTGTAGTTGCGTATAACTACGTGTTAAATTTTATCTTGCATTATAATAAATTGATAAACATTGGTGTAACAAAGATCGAAATCAACTTATTTGCAAACTACACTGATTGATATTTACAAAATTATACTACGTTATTATTTACAAATAAAAATGACCTTTTTAGCTATAGAACAGTAATTGTTCAAAATGTCTACCTTTTCCTTCTAAACACAAACTAGCACATCTTTGGAAATTGTTTGTTAAGCTTCGAAGCGTATCTCTATCAGTTTTTATCACATTAAATACGTCTATTACACGCTGTTTTAAATTACTAATACTGTGCTTCTTCTGTGTACACTAACCGTTTTAGATAAATAAAAAGTCTACAGGTGTTAGGTCTGATGACCTCGCTGGCCAGTTCACAGGTCACTTATCACCGAATTGGCTCGTCATTGTTAGATACTCGACATTACAGTATTGGTAAATGTTTAAGATACACAAGCGGAAACACAAACAATACGACGGCGACGCGAAGTCACGCCTCAGCTACTAATTTTTTTTCACCGCCCGCCCGCACTGCAGTTTTATTTTTTGTAAAATATCAGTACCATAGGCTTTTGCTCATCTATTATACCTATTACATCATTTTTTTCCAGACGGTAAAAATAGTCACGTGTATGTCCTAATTTGTTCAATAACTTGTTACGAAGTGACGTAATCGCGTTGCTGTAGAAATCTTGGCAATTTTGATCAAAATAAATGCGACAAGTAAGAGAGAGAACCGAAGAAGAGAGAATGAAGACACCGGTGGATGCATTAAGACTTCCCAACCAAGCTCTCTCAATGTTTGCCGAGAGGTAAAAAAGATGTGTATGGTCTGGCGTTATAATGATACAACTCCCCTTCTGTTCTGTTAATCAATTCTGGCCGTTATCTTTTCAATTTCTTCCTTGAATCTCATTACTTGATGACAGTAGAGATCCAAATTGATGGTTTTGCGCGGCGGTAAATGCTCATAATAAACTATCTTTTCGACGAGCCTTTCCGATCCCAACATATACACAGCATCACATTACCAGTGTGTTTATCCAGGTTTCATTACATTCAGTGAAGCTTGAATAAATGTTGACCATGATCTTTTTCACACGTTCTTGTAGTAGGTGATCCACTTTTCATAGCCAGTGATCAATCTTTTCAAAAACGGTTCGGTTTCATTACGTTTCAATAAAGAATCGCAAATGAGTTCACGATTCATTAGTTTTTTTCAGTGAGCTCGTGTGATAACCAAATATCTAGCTTTTTTGTGTAGCTAGACTTTTTCAAATGGTTCAAAACTATTTTGCGGTCAATTCTTAATTCCTCGGCTACGTCGTAACTACAAATATACCGATTTTGCTCCACTTTTTCAAAACTGGCATCAAATTTATCCGTATGAGGGCGACGAGAGAGCTGCATCTCTGACATCAAAATTCCCATAATGAAAACGCTTGAACCAACTTTATGCTACTCTTAGTGACACTGCATTAGGTCCATAAGCGTCAACATTTTTTTCGCGGCTTTTGTAGCATTTTTCCCTTTTTTTAATAAAACTTCAAAATGTATCGAATTTCTTCGAACATCATCATCATCGTTACAGAACTTCACAAGTCCTCTGCTGAATATAGGCCTCCTTCAAGGAATGCTTTAACTCACGGTCCAGAGGCACCTGCATCCATCGACTTCCTGCATGTCTTACCAGGCTTCACTCCATCTAGACTGCCATGCATTTCATCTACTAGTACAAGATTGTTACTTGAGAAACTTTTTCACCAACGGTTGTCGGTTCTTCGAGCAATATGGTCGGCCCATTGCCACTTCAGCTTAATAATCCGTTGGGCTATGTCGGTTACTCTGGTTCTACTACGAATATCCTCATTCTCTACTACGATTATCACGCAGAGAAACCTTGAGCATAGCCCTCTCCATAGCTCGCTGAGCGACCTTGAGCGTTCTCGTACGACCAGCAGTGAAGGAATACGTCTCAGTTCCATAATTCATCACTGGCAACACACACTGGTTGGTCACGTTTTCACGTTTTGAGATATAGCTGACGAAAATATGTGTCGTAATTTCCCGAACGCTTCCCAGCCGAGTTAAATCCGTCGATTGACTTCTCGGCCAAAGTTGGACTTACCTAGTCGGACTATTTGTCCCAAGTAAACATACTTTAGGTCCTCCAGCGATTTTGCCATAAAGACTACATCGTCGGCAAATCGACGGTGAGTGATGTACTCGCCATTGATGTTAATACCGTATCTTTTCCAGTCCAGTAGCTTGAAAACGTCTTCCAATGCAGCGGTGTAGAGTTTCGGGGAAATAACGTCACCCTGTCTTACACCTCTCTGCAGTTGGATACATTTCGTACTCTGGTTCTGTACTCGGATAGCCATCGTAGCCCTACTGTACAAACACTTCAGCACTTCGATATACCGACAGTCAACTTGGTACCGCTGAAGAGACTGTAGCACCGCCTAAATTTCCACATACGCCAGGCAAAGTGGCAGATTGTACTCTTCGGACTTCTGTACAATTTGCCGAAGGGTATGTATGTGGTCTATGGTACTAAAGCCTTTTCGGAAACCGGCTTGTTCGGGAGGCTGGAAGTCGAACGATGAAGAGTTTCGGGGATATAACGTCACCCTGTCTGTTTTACACCTCTATGTAGTTGGATAGGTTTTGGTACTCTGGTTCTGTACTCGGATTTCGGTTTTTCGACTCCGTCAATAACACTGTATGTAGTTGGATAGGTTTCGTACTCTGGTTCTGTACTCGGATTTCGGTTTTTCGACTCCGTCAATAACACTGCTATGTAGTTGGATAGGTTTTGGTACTCTGGTTCTGTACTCGGATTTCGGTTTTTCGACTCCGTCAATAACACTGCTATGTAGTTGGATAGATTTTGGTACTCTGGTTCTGTACTCGGATTTCGGTTTTTCGACTCCGTCAATAACACTGCAATGTAGTTGGATAGGTTTCGTACTCTGGTTTTGTACTCGGATTTCGGTTTTTCGACTCCGTCAATAACACTGCTATGTAGTTGGATAGGTTTTGGTACTCTGGTTCTGTACTCGGATTTCGGTTTTTCGACTCCGTCAATAACACTGATTAGGGCTATTTCCGTAGATTTGCATCTGCGGTAAGGGTTTTGGTTGTAATGTATGGGCCTCACAGCTAGAGCTACATCTCTAATACATTTATCTATAACCATTTCCAATGTTTTGAGAAAAAGAAAGATGGCTTATAGGTTTAAGGGACTTTGGTCAAAAGTGGTCCTTTCTGCCAGCCTTAGGTATAAAATAGAGCTTTGATAATTGTCCATCATTCTAGAATTAATCCTTTTGCAAAACTTGCTTTAAAGACGTCCACCAGATAAAGAAGAAGGATATCGATAGTCATCTGTCGTTGGATGGCAATTATTCCATCCGCACCACTTGTTTCATATGGTTTAAAGGAGTCCTAGCCTGGTACGACGCCAGCCTACTGCAACAAGTTTGGTCTCATTATCTCGGCAGCCCTACACAAATCCTTATTGCAAGGTCTTCATAGGGCTGAAACAGTTCAAGGCGGATAACTAACTGACTGGCATGTTAGTAGTGAAAATTCGATGTCTGCTCACAAACACATTAAGTTTGTAATTCACCAAATAAAATTTTTGCTTTTAGGGATCCAAAAGCGTGGGCTGTTTTTAAAGACAGGCTAAGCAGGAATTTTTAAAGGTTTCCTAAAAGCAACAAAATGAAGATGACTGAAGATTAGGGACGGAGACTGTAACCGTAGGAAACCGTAGGATTAGAGATGAGAAAACCATAAAGTAACTCACCTCTTACGTTGATGTTAGTGCTTCCCCAGGCTGTGTGGTGAGCATTAGCATCATATCCCACTACAAGTTCGGCGTTGTGTTTTCGGGCGAACTCCGCCACTCGCTCTAACTCGATGGTAGGTCCTGAGTTCTTTCCGGGAAGATAGGCTGAACAAATGATTACTATAGCCCCTGTCTATGCCTTGAGATGAAATTTAAGAGCTGTTACCAGGTCGTCGTTGCAGTAGTGTGGAACAGCTAAAATTTACAATTATACAAGCTCTCGATCTACTGCCTTTAGTATTGACTTAACTTACCAGCAGCCGACAATCACAGGACTTGACCGTTAGCCTCTTGTATGAAGGCGAGATCAATGTTGTCCTCTGCAAAACAAACTTTCACCACGGCAGAGGCAGTTGTTGTATGGTAAAGATTTTCCGGGAGAACCCTCATCTTAGGGTCAGCCATTTATGAGCGTAGGGCAAGGGTCATTTTCGCCTGCTGAGAACGAAAACGTCCTTTACTGACGCTCTTGACCCCCACCACACCTTTCCCTCTGCTGCAACCACCCTCCTTTCACATGCCCCCGGCTGACGCTAGCGGAGGCCGTCGACTCGAAGTAAGATCAGCGCCTTTGGATTCAGTCACTCTCGCTGACGACGTTCCCGGCTCACTCCACGAAATGGAGGCCTGGAGACATTGGGGATTGTTCATTTGCCACATTATAGCCGCCCCTGATCATTAAAGTCATCATTGCTAGTACGACTCCACCGCCTGCCGCTCTCGGATAGTCACAGCCGACGGGTCGTCCAGAGAAAAGGTTACTATGAACCTAATCTCCTCGTCCCTGCGATGAACGATTTTTCAGAGCTCTGTACGGGGCCCTTCATTCTATGCCTTCAACAGCACTCCCGGGTCTTCTGCAGAGTCAGCTTCGCTGTGGGGCAGATATGTTATACACAGCTGAGACTTAAACAATTCGTCCTCAGATATTATATAAAGGGCTTTGCCTCCGGCCATGGTTTCAGGACCACTTTACCCACATTCCATTCCTGGCTTGCGCTATTTAGGCATGTTAGCAGAATCCAACCTGGCTTGTGGGTAAAACCCGAAAACTTTGGTTTCGCTACTGGTTGCGCCCCACAGGATGTTTTAGCGACAGCTTGTGTGAGCACGTGGTGGACCAGTCGCATCTGCTCCACGCTCATAGGATTCTATTTTCGAATTCCTACACGAGTGGAGCCAGCTACGGTACTGAAGCTGAGCTTCTCCTTTTCCGTTGACAACTTCACAGATTTTCTGGGCTGGTTTTTGGGAGACTCCTTCTCAGATCGACTGCGTTTTTCGCCTTGGGATCCGGGAGAATTGGACAGAGGAATATCGGTCCAGGGCCTCAGGCAGCTGCTATTAGCCTCCTGTACCACTTCCGTGCTGCCCCACTAAGCTTGTAAGACCTACTCTTCCCTGGTTCGTTTCCGATGATGTTTCGGCTACATGCTTGCCCTCCACTTTACTCTCTCATTCCAGTGAGGCATTGTGTTGCAGGGTGTTGACATGTGTGAACATTCCCTGCAATTTCCTACGCTGATCTGGATATCGCAGGTCGCTGTCGGACATAGAATACTATAATACACAATAGAATGGCTGTCAACCTTATTTTGTGCGAGGATCAGCGTCGCCGGGAGCACACATACAAGCAATTACGTCGTATTATCAGTTATCACTACCACAAACACATTTTAGACTTTTGATTAATGTTTTAGACACATAAATATTTTTTTTATTTTTGTTTCTAATATTCACAAAATATAAATAGTTTCGACTTACTGGTTGTAGAATATGTCTCCTTTATTTAACTTCCATGATCTTAACTTCTCTGTTCTTTCACACGTAATTATTGCACAATTAGCCATTTTTTAAATAATTTGCATGCAGCGACGCCTGACACGAAAATTGGAAACGATTGATTGAGTTGTCATTTATAGGTGTTAATTGACATGTTAGTGACATTTTAGTGGCTACACGGGCTCCGCCTACTCCCCCGTTCTATTGTGTAAGTATTATAGTATTCTTTGTTGTCGGACGCGTGCGATTGCGTTGCATATGATAAGTGTTTCTAATGCAAAGTTTCTTATACAAAATCAAGAATTCAGATGCGTTGCATACGTTGCGTACGTGGGACCAGTCTGTCTCCATCGTTATTCGAGCACTGGCTTCACGGTTTCATGGTTTTTCTCTGAAGTATTTTCGTCTCATTTATATACAGCTTAAAAATCGTTACATATAGACTCAGATAAAATATAATATAATAGAATATCACGTTTGCGAGTTGTTTTATGGGTTGGTCGAATAGTACAGCCAAGTGTGACAGCTAAGTCGAGCTATGGCTGTGCGGGTGGAGTGTGGGCGGTGTGCTAGTGTTATGAGAAGAGTTAGTGGTATGCGTGCGTACCTCAACGGTGGCGAGATTGGCGGCGCCGTCATCTCCGCCCACCACGTAGAGGCGCGCGGCGTGCTGCACCACGCCGGCGGTCCGGCGCGCGCTGGCCATGGGCGGCGCCGGCGCCCAGCCCGCGCCCTCGCGGAAGCGCTCCACCGAGCGCCGCACCGTGGGCCCGTCGTGGCCACCCACCGCGTACAGCGCGCCCTCCGCCACGCCCACGCCACAGCCCGAGCGCCGCGCGCCCATCTCGGCCACGGGCTGCCACGCGTCCGCCGCGGGCTCGTAGCGCTCCACCGTGTGCAGGCAGGCGCGCGCGGCACCGTCGTACCCGCCCACGGCGTACAGTCGGCCGCCCAGCACGCCCACGCCCACGCTCGAGCGCCGCGTGCTCATGCTGGCGATGGGCCGCCAAACGCCCTCGCGTGCGTCCATCGCCTCCGCCGAGGACAGACCCGACGCACCGTCGAACCTGCACCCCACACGTTGTATGTCGACCCAGTATCGATTATGACGTTCATTATCGCCTTAAACATCGCTCAATTTAATTATAAGTTTAGATTTTGGAAAATAAATGTGAAATTATGAAAAATAAATTTATATTAATTTATTCATACGACGAACGAAAAGGACACTACGGGACTAAAACATTGCTCACTAAGTTGCGGGCAATTAACTGTAACTTCTTTATTTAGTTAAATGCGAGGATACGAAAAACCTCGTTATTTGTTTTCTAAAACGCGAACATTGTTTTCGACAAAATTTATATAATATAAGTAAGAAACTGTGTGATTATTTATGTATGTAAATGAGTGGTGCGGTGCGTACTTACCCGCCCACCGCGTAGATGACGTTGCCGACGACGGCGACGCCGAGCGTAGAGCGGCGCGCGCACAGCGGCGGCCCGGGCGCCCACGCGTCCGCGCCGGGGTCGTAGATGTCTACGCTGCGCACGCGCAGGGTGCCTGAAAACATTATTTTTCTCATTATTTGCTCTACAATACTGAAAACGAATGGTAACATCCACGATTTCGTGTCGTGCAAAGGTATGATGTGATGTGTTGTACTGTCGTGCAATGGTGTAGTGTTTAGTGCGTTGTAGTGCCGTGTCGTGGTGTGTGTGTGGTGTATTGTAGTGCCGTGCAGTGGTGTGATGTGTGTGGTGTGTTGTAGTGCCGTGCAATGGTGTGATGTGTGTGGTGTGTTGTAGTGCCGTGCAATGGTGTGGGATGTGTGTGGTGTGTTGTAGTGCCGTGCAGTGATGTGATGTGTGTGGTGTGTTGTAGTGCCGTGCAGTGGTGTGATGTGTGTGGTGTGTTGTAGTGCCGTGCAGTGGTGTGATGTGTGTGGTGTGTTGTAGTGCCGTGCAGTGGTGTGATGTGTGTTGTGTGTTGTAGTGCCGTGCAGTGGTGTGATGTGTGTGGTGTGTTGTAGTGCCGTGCAGTGGTGTGATGTGTGTGGTGTGTTGTAGTGCCGTGCAGTGGTGTGATGTGTGTGGTGTGTTGTAGTGCCGTGCAATGGTGTGATGTGTGTGTGTGTATTGTAGTGCCGTGGAGTGGTGTGATGTGTGTGGTGTATTGTAGTGCCGTGCAGTGGTGTGATGTGTGTGGTGTGTTGTAGTGCCGTGCAGTGGTGTGATGTGTGTGGTGTGTTGTAGTGCCGTGCAGTGGTGTGATGTGTGTGGTGTGTTGTAGTGCCGTGCAGTGGTGTGATGTGTGTGGTGTGTTGTAGTGCCGTGCAGTGGTGTGATGTGTGTGGTGTGTTGTAGTGCCGTGCAGTGGTGTGATGTGTGTGGTGTGTTGTAGTGCCGTGCAGTGGTGTGATGTGTGTGGTGTGTTGTAGTGCCGTGCAGTGGTGTGATGTGTGTGGTGTGTTGTAGTGCCGTGCAGTGGTGTGATGTGTGTGGTGTGTTGTAGTGCCGTGCAGTGGTGTGATGTGTGTGGTGTGTTGTAGTGCCGTGCAGTGGTGTGATGTGTGTGGTGTGTTGTAGTGCCGTGCAGTGGTGTGATGTGTGTGGTGTGTTGTAGTGCCGTGCAGTGGTGTGATGTGTGTGGTGTGTTGTAGTGCCGTGCAGTGGTGTGATGTGTGTGGTGTGTTGTAGTGCCGTGCAGTGGTGTGATGTGTGTGGTGTGTTGTAGTGCCGTGCAGTGGTGTGATGTGTGTGGTGTGTTGTAGTGCCGTGCAGTGGTGTGATGTGTGTGGTGTGTTGTAGTGCCGTGCAGTGGTGTGATGTGTGTGGTGTGTTGTAGTGCCGTGCAGTGGTGTGATGTGTGTGGTGTGTTGTAGTGCCGTGCAGTGGTGTGATGTGTGTGGTGTGTTGTAGTGCCGTGCAGTGGTGTGATGTGTGTGGTGTGTTGTAGTGCCGTGCAGTGGTGTGATGTGTGTGGTGTGTTGTAGTGCCGTGCAGTGGTGTGATGTGTGTTGTGTGTTGTAGTGCCGTGCAGTGGTGTGATGTGTGTGGTGTGTTGTAGTGCCGTGCAGTGGTGTGATGTGTGTGGTGTGTTGTAGTGCCGTGCAGTGGTGTGTGTGTTTTGTGCGTTGTAGTGCCGTGCAGTGGTGTGATGTGTGTGGTGTGTTGTAGTGCCGTGCAGTGGTGTGATGTGTGTGGTGTGTTGTAGTGCCGTGCAGCGGTGTGATGTGTGTGGTGTGTTGTAGTGCCGTGCAGTGGTGTGATGTGTTGGTGTGTTGTAGTGCCGTGCAGTGGTGTGATGTGTGTGGTGTGTTGTAGTGCCGTGCAGCGGTGTGATGTGTGTGGTGTGTTGTAGTGCCGTGCAGTGGTGTGATGTGTGGTGTGTTGTAGTGCCGTGCAGTGGTGTGATGTGTGTGATGTGTTGTAGTGCCGTGCAGTGGTGTGATGTGTGTGGTGTGTTGTAGTGCCGTGCAGTGGTGTGATGTGTGTGGTGTGTTGTAGTGCCGTGCAGTGGTGTGATGTGTGTGGTGTGTTGTAGTGCCGTGCAGTGGTGTGATGTGTGTGGTGTGTTGTAGTGCCGTGCAGTGGTGTGATGTGTGTGGTGTGTTGTAGTGCCGTGCAGTGGTGTGATGTGTGTGGTGTGTTGTAGTGCCGTGCAGTGGTGTGATGTGTGTGGTGTGTTGTAGTGCCGTGCAGTGGTGTGATGTGTGTGGTGTGTTGTAGTGCCGTGCAGTGGTGTGATGTGTGTGGTGTGTTGTAGTGCCGTGCAGTGGTGTGATGTGTGTGGTGTGTTGTAGTGCCGTGCAGTGGTGTGATGTGTGTGGTGTGTTGTAGTGCCGTGCAGTGGTGTGATGTGTGTGGTGTGTTGTAGTGCCGTGCAGTGGTGTGATGTGTGTGGTGTGTTGTAGTGCCGTGCAGTGGTGTGATGTGTGTGGTGTGTTGTAGTGCCGTGCAGTGGTGTGATGTGTGTGGTGTGTTGTAGTGCCGTGCAGTGGTGTGATGTGTGTGGTGTGTTGTAGTGCCGTGCAGTGGTGTGATGTGTGTGGTGTGTTGTAGTGCCGTGCAGCGGTGTGATGTGTGTGGTGTGTTGTAGTGCCGTGCAGTGGTGTGATGTGTGTGGTGTGTTGTAGTGCCGTGCAGTGGTGTGATGTGTGTGGTGTGTTGTAGTGCCGTGCAGTGGTGTGATGTGTGTGGTGTGTTGTAGTGCCGTGCAGTGGTGTGATGTGTGTGGTGTGTTGTAGTGCCGTGCAGTGGTGTGATGTGTGTGGTGTGTTGTAGTGCCGTGCAGTGGTGTGATGTGTGTGGTGTGTTGTAGTGCCGTGCAGTGGTGTGATGTGTGTGGTGTGTTGTAGTGCCGTGCAGCGGTGTGATGTGTGTGGTGTGTTGTAGTGCCGTGCAGTGGTGTGATGTGTGTGGTGTGTTGTAGTGCCGTGCAATGGTGTGATGTGTGTGGTGTGTTGTAGTGCCGTGCAGTGGTGTGATGTGTGTGGTGTGTTGTAGTGCCGTGCAGCGGTGTGATGTGTGTAGTGTGTTGTAGTGCCGTGCAGTGGTGTGATGTGTGTGGTGTGTTGTAGTGCCGTGCAGTGGTGTGATGTGTGTGGTGTGTTGTAGTGCCGTGCAATGGTGTGATGTGTGTGGTGTGTTGTAGTGCCGTGCAGTGATGTGATGTGTGGTGTGTTGTAGTGCCGTGCAGCGGTGTGATGTGTGTGGTGTGTTGTAGTGCCGTGCAGTGGTGTGATGTGTGTAGTGTGTTGTAGTGCCGTGCAGTGGTGTGATGTGTGTGGTGTGTTGTAGTGCCGTGCAATGGTGTGATGTGTGTGGTGTGTTGTAGTGCCGTGCAGTGGTGTGATGTGTGTGGTGTGTTGTAGTGCCGTGCAGTGGTGTGATGTGTGTGGTGTGTTGTAGTGCCGTGCAGTGGTGTGATGTGTGTGGTGTGTTGTAGTGCCGTGCAGTGGTGTGATGTGTGTGGTGTGTTGTAGTGCCGTGCAATGGTGTGATGTGTGTGGTGTGTTGTAGTGCCGTGCAGTGGTGTGATGTGTGTGGTGTGTTGTAGTGCCGTGCAGTGGTGTGATGTGTGTGGTGTGTTGTAGTGCCGTGCAGTGGTGTGATGTGTGTGGTGTGTTGTAGTGCCGTGCAGTGGTGTGATGTGTGTGATGTGTTGTAGTGCCGTGCAGTGGTGTGATGTGTGTGGTGTGTTGTAGTGCCGTGCAGTGGTGTGATGTGTGGTGTGTTGTAGTGCCGTGCAGTGGTGTGATGTGTGTGGTGTGTTGTAGTGCCGTGCAGTGGTGTGATGTGTGTGTGTGTGTTGTAAAGGCCGTGCAGCGGTGTGATGTGTGTGGTGTGTTGTAGTGCCGTGCAGTGGTGTGATGTGTGTGGTGTGTTGTAGTGCCGTGCAGTGGTGTGATGTGTGTGGTGTGTTGTAGTGCCGTGCAGCGGTGTGATGTGTGTGGTGTGTTGTAGTGCCGTGCAGTGGTGTGATGTGTGTGGTGTGTTGTAGTGCCGTGCAGTGGTGTGATGTGTGTGGTGTGTTGTAGTGCCGTGCAATGGTGTGATGTGTGTGGTGTGTTGTAGAGCCGTGCAGTGGTGTGATGTGTGTGGTGTGTTGTAGTGCCGTGCAGTGGTGTGATGTGTGTGGTGTGTTGTAGTGCCGTGCAGCGGTGTGATGTGTGTGGTGTGTTGTAGTGCCGTGCAGTGGTGTGATGTGTGTGGTGTGTTGTAGTGCCGTGCAGTGGTGTGATGTGTGTGGTGTGTTGTAGTGCCGTGCAGTGGTGTGATGTGTGTGGTGTGTTGTAGTGCCGTGCAGCGGTGTGATGTGTGTGGTGTGTTGTAGTGCCGTGCAGTGGTGTGATGTGTGTGTGTGTTGTAGTGCCGTGCAATGGTGTGATGTGTGTGGTGTGTTGTAGTGCCGTGCAGTGGTGTGATGTGTGTGGTGTGTTGTAGTGCCGTGCAATGGTGTGATGTGTGTGGTGTGTTGTAGTGCCGTGCAAGTGATGTGATGTGTGGTGTGTTGTAGTGCCGTGCAATGGTGTGATGTGTGTGGTGTGTTGTAGTGCCGTGCAATGGTGTGATGTGTGTGGTGTGTTGTAGTGCCGTACAGTGGTATGATGTGTGTGGTGTACTGTACGTTAAACATCGATAGTTTGGTAATCCGATAGTATCGATAGTTTAACTAAAAACTATCGATAGTATCGATAGTCTATCGATAGTTTAAAAACTTGTAGGATTAGAGTAACATCTATAAAATCACAAATGTTATACGAAACGTAGAATTTTATTTTGATATATATATATTCGAAATAACAATCAAACAATCAAAAATCAGTATTCATCATTATTATAGTTAGAAATCAATCATTAAAATAACAGCTATTTTGTTTTATAAACAACAATTCATTTAATCTTTTTTCTTTTAACCTATTTCTGCGTTCGGTTAAAATTTGTCCGGCCTTCGAAAATATTCGTTCTGAAGGCACAGAAGATGCTGGAATACAGAGATAGAGCATCGCTAATTCCTTCAATTTATTGTTGGTGTATTTCCAGTATGTTATAGGACACTCTTTTCTGTCAATTACTGGCTTCTCGAGATATTGCCTGACATCTACCAATGAGTTACTCAACGGGGTCGATACGTCCGGAACGTCTAGAAATCCCAACAGGTCATTAGATGTTCCTGAAGACGTGGATGGTGTTGGTTGCGTTTCTTCTACAGCCAAGCGTTCTTTAGTTAAATGGCTAGCATAGGCCTTTTCCAGCCACTGACCAGCTCGCTTCTCGTCGTCACTTGTTTTGAACCCCTTCTTCTTAAATCTGGGGTCCAATATTGTAGCAAGTACAACAGGTGTCCTGCTTTCATAGGGACTTAGTCTTTTGTCAACTGATCCCTTCATGCAGAGTAATATTTTGTTTCCGCTTTCAGTAACAATTTGAGATTCAACTTCTACTAATTTCGTTTTTATTCCACGAATCAATGGTATTATCAGTGACAATGTTATATAGCTTTCTCCGGAAATTTTTGTTGTAGCTAGATCGAAAGGTTCCAGAATTTGAATTGTTTCTTGAATAATTAGGTATTCGTCAGCATTGACTCCTGGTGGAGCCCGATTACATTCATTAAGTGCGAGAGTTAATTCTGTCTTCATTGTAACAATTCTTTGCAGCATGTGGTATGCACTGTTCCAGCGGGTGGGTACTTCCTGGATCACTTTCAGTTCTGGTTTATTTAATTCACGTTGAATAGCCCGTAATTTATCGCTAGCTAGAGTACTCATCTTGAAAAAAGTCACAATCGATTTACATTTTTTCAGAATCTGGTCTAAGCAGGTCACAGCAAACGAATCACTTACCGTCAGGTTTAGTGTGTGCGCAAAGCAGGGTATATGTCGTATATGCAGTTTGGCTGCGGCGTTAATCATTGTTTGAGCGTTATCAGTCGTTATTGCTTCACATTTTGACCTGATATCCCATTTTGAGAGAGTAGCATCCAACATCTGAAAACAATAATAATATTGTTTATGTCTGATTATAAAGAAACACTGAATTGGTAGGTATCAAGGCAATAAAATTTAAAAATACTTACACTGGCTATATTTTCTGCGTTATGACTTCCTTCCATCTTCACAACTTCCAACAATGGTGCAATTAATTTTTCGTTGTGAAAGAAATGACAAGTAACTGAAAGGATGCCTTCATTTGCAATTGATGTCCATAAGTCAGTAGTCACACTAACATGTTCTGCTTTCGATAATGCTATGACGAGCTTCTGTTTCACGTTTTCATAATATTCCGGCAGTAATTTCTTTTTTCAATATTGTTGTATCAGGAATTTCATATCTACTATCGAGAGCATTTACAAAATCCCGAAATCCTTCATGTTCTCCTTTTCGCAAAGGTTCCATGTCAACAGCAATCATGCGCACGTATTTGTTATCCAAATTTTGCTTTGTTTTCCCATCTGGATATTTACTACTTCTATCAAAATAATTTTTTAGCGTATTTCTCTTTTTAGGGCTTGGGCCCATTTTCTCATTTTGCTCAGTGGTATCTACGTCTTGAGTAACAGAAACAGTGGATGACCACATCCATACCTCATTATGTTTTCTCTTCATATGATCGATCAAGTTCGTAGTATTTCCACTTAGTTTAAACTCTCTTTTTACACAAAGAACACTTGACAAACTTTTCATTAGTCTTTTTGAAGTAATCCCACGCACGTGACTTACTACTCATGTTTTATTGTTTAATTCTAAATTGTTTGTTACTCCACTCAACTTCAAACATCCACAATAAAAAACTGACTGACTGACTTTTGTCTTGTAAATGAATGATATACGCACGGTAATTCCCCAACCATAGAGAAGAATCTCAATGTCTACGCCTTTGAATGTATGATATACGCACGGTAATTCCCCTACCATAGAGAACAATCTCAATGTCTATACCTTTGTCACTATAGCCGGGGAATAACTTACATACATGCATACCTCGACTCTAGGGATGTAAAAGTAGTACCCGAGTAAACAATCGATCGATAGTTTTAAAAACTATCGATAGTATCGATAGCCATTTACTATCGATACCATCGATAGTCTATCGATGTTTAACGTACACTAGTGTGGTGTGTTGTAGTGTCGTGCAATGGTGTGATGTGTGTGGTGTGTTGTAGTGCCGTGTAGTGGTGTGATGTGTGTGGTGTGTTGTAGTGCCGTGCAATGGTGTGATGTGTGTGGTGTGTTGTAGTGCCGTGCAATGGTGTGATGTGTGTGGTGTGTTGTAGTGCCGTGCAATGGTGTGATGTGTGTGGTGTGTTGTAGTGCCGTGCAATGGTGTGATGTGTGTGGTGTGTTGTAGTGCCGTGCAATGGTGTGATGTGTGTGGTGTGTTGTAGTGTCGTGCAATGATGTGATGTGTGTGGTGTGTTGTAGTGCCGTGCAATGGTGTGATGTGTGTGGTGTGTTGTAGTGCCGTGCAATGGTGTGATGTGTGTGGTGTGTTGTAGTGCCGTGCAATGATGTGATGTGTGTGGTGTGTTGTAGTGCCGTGCAATGGTGTGATGTGTGTGGTGTGTTGTAGTGCCGTGCAATGGTGTGATGTGTGTGGTGTGTTGTAGTGCCGTGCAATGGTGTGATGTGTGTGGTGTGTTGTAGTGCCGTGCAATGATGTGATGTGTGTGGTGTGTTGTAGTGCCGTGCAATGGTGTGATGTGTGTGGTGTGTTGTAGTGCCGTGCAATGGTGTGATGTGTGTGGTGTGTTGTAGTGCCGTGCAATGATGTGATGTGTGTGGTGTGTTGTAGTGCCGTGCAATGGTGTGATGTGTGTGGTGTGTTGTAGTGTCGTGCAGTGGTGTGATGTGTGTGGTGTGTTGTAGTGCCGTGCAAGTGATGTGATACGCGTGGTGCCTTGTAGTACCATGCAGCGGTGTGATTTGTTGTAGCGTCGTGCAGTGGTGTAATGTATATTAGTCGTGCAGTCGTGTAGTGTGTGTGGTATCGTTTAGTATCGTGCAGTGGTGTAGTGTGCGTGTGCGTGTGTGTATGTGTGTTTGTTGGTGCTATAAACGTACCATTGAAGCCGCCGACGGCATAGAGCTTCCCGGCGACGACGGCGAGGCCAGCACGGCATCGGCGCGACGGCAGCGCGGCGGCGCGGCGCCAGCACGGCGGCGACGAGTCCAGTTGCAGGACCTCCACATCGCGGATGGCCTTTGGTGCCTGCCCGCCTACCACCACCAACACCTGCAAAAGTGCAACTACCGCGTGCATATCTCGTGATCCGTGTGGTGGTGGTGTATGAATATGCACTACCCTATATTGCTCTGAATGAATTGTTGATTCGTTATTTTTAAATGGAAAATTAGCATCGATAACGACGCGGGCGCAATTCAGAAACCAATATTTAACGGGGCTCCGATGAAAATCAGCGCTGCTACAGTACCTGCGGTAGCATAAGTCGGAATCCTTTTGACATCATGTCACTCTTAAAAAATTAACTTTTTTGCTCAGATTTTTTATTTATGTTTCCCTTCCTGTATCTTAGACACACAGACACAGTCACATACACACATACACACACACACACCACACACACACAATACCACACATCCAGAAGCACATACACACAACAAGAAGCAATACACACAACAATAAACGATACATTAAACAGTACGTCACAATAACCGCTATAAACTAATATTGATTAAAGAATAATGAATCATCTTATGTACTTGCCGAATATAGACCTAGAACTATGAATTAGGGCCAAGAATGATAAGATTTGAATATTCTTAAAATTTATTGTCACATCACAACATTAAAACACAAATGAATAAATTTTCTATTATGTGCTGATTCGACATTTATTATATTTACAACCCGTAATTATTATTAATTGCAAACATAAGTACTTACTTTCAATTAATGTTTTTTTTTAATTAATCTAACGACTGGATTACCTACCTGCCATGAGCTTGAAACCATTATAAAATATAAATATATTAAAGAATATTTCAAGATGTCAAAGCAGCAGACTTATTGCTGCTATCACGTTTTAGTTTGTGATTTTTTGGATCTATATATCGATCGAAGGTCAAATTAAAGTCACCATTTCATGTACCTCAGGTTTTTTTTTATAGAAGAGGAGGCAAACGAGCATACGGCTCACCTGATGGCAAGTGATTACCGCCGCCCATGAACAACTGCAACACCAGGGGAATTTCAGATGCGTTGCCGGCCTTTTAAAAAGGAATAGGCTCTTTTCTTGAAGATCCCTAAGTCGTATCGGTCCGGAAAAATCTCTGGTGGTAGTTGATTCCACAAGGAAGTTGTGCGAGGAAGAAAACTTCTTTTAAATCGCACAGTGGTGGACCGCCAGTCATCCAGATGGAATAGATCGTATCGCGAGTTTTGTCGCGATGTGCAATGGTGAAATTGTGCGGTTGGAATTAGTCTGAACAATTCCTCAGAGCACTCCCCGTGGTAGAGGCGATAAAATACGCAAAAATATTCAACATCTCTTCGCAGTGCAGTGAGTCAAGCCGATCGGAAAGAGCTCAGTCGCCGACGATTCGAACAGCTCTGGGCTGAATGCGATCAAATGGAAGGAGCTGGCACTGGGGAGACCCCGCCCAGGGATGGAAACAGTATTCCACGTGAGGCCGAACCTGAGCCTTTTAAGTTGCTCTGCTGAGGACGCCAAGATTTACAGAAACCAATTTGGCCTTCTCTTCAAAGTGACAACGAAACTACACGTCACTCGATATGTCGACGCCGAGGATTCTGATACTGGCTGAGGCAACAAGGGGAGTGCCTTGAAACTGAGGAGATACGACGAAGGGGTTCTTTTTAGCGATGAACGCGCAAACTTGTGTCTAATGGGGATTAAACTGGACTAGACAATCCGAGATTTTGTTCAACAAAGTCTCGCTTTAGTGACACAAGTTTGTCCCGGTACTCGGCGACGTTTTCCTGAGAAATATTGGCACGGCCGGTATATAAAGCATCCCCAGTGCTGTCGTCTGCATAGCAATGAATGTTACCGGTTAGCAACATGTCATTGATATGCAGAAGAAACAGAGTTGGTAATAGCACATAGCCTTTTTTAATTTATTTAAGGCAACAAACATCATGTAAATAGATAGTAACATGGATAAATAATAATATAACTAAAGACCTATAGTGCCTTTAACTAAACTTTTAAAAACATAAACACTCACGCCTGTCACCCAGAGGGGTAGGCAGAGACTACAGACTTCCATTTAGCACGATCCTGACATACCTTTCTCGCCTCTTCCACATCCATATACCTACGCATACATGCTCGTCGGTTAAGGATACTCTTAATTTGGCCCATTTTTAGTGTATATATGTATTATAGGACGTCCTTTTCCGACTCTTCCGTTCACTTCTGCAACATATATTTGCTTTGTCAGTCTTTCCGCATTCATTCTTTCTACATGATACATTCCCAATTGCAATACCACCGAAGCATTCCTTTCTTAATCCTGGTCACCGCATCATCTTGCAAACCACACTCTTCTTTTATCACACAGTTTCTCACCGTCACCAGACAGCTCTAACATACCCAGCGACCCATATTTCACTCTCGTGCTTCTTCTGACCCAACTTTCACTACCATACGTTAAAGTAGGGACCAACACAGCATTGTGAATTGCCATACGTGCCTTTTTTGACACATTCTGACTTTTCAAAATAGAGTGTAGAGCCCCATTTACTTTATTTCCTGCATTCACTCGTCGTTCAATATCTTTATCATATCTCCCATCCCTGCTGAATACACATCACAAATATACGAACTCATCCACTTGCTCAATTAACTCTCCTTCTATTCTTATTTCACATACCGTTTTGCTTTCATCTCTTTCAAAAGCCATCACTTTCGTCTTACTTGCGTTCACTTTCACTCCCCTTTCTTTTAATGATCTGTTCATTAATGTAACCATCATTTGCAACTCGGCCGCCGACGACGCAAGTATGACTTGATCATCGGCGTACAAAAGGCATTTGATGGTTAACTCACCCATTCTTAACCCGCATTCTTCAACTTTCAAATTTTCCAAACAGCTGTCCATAAATAGGTTGAACAGCCACGGGGAAGCCACACAGCCCTGTCTGACACCTTTATGGATGCCGAACCAGTCCGAGTAGACCCCGTTGATTCTAACACAAGCACTCGAGTCCCTATACAGAGACTTTAATGCCTGTATCAAACCAGCGCTCAACCTAAATGCGTTCAGCGTTTGCCATAACACATCCCTGTCCACTCTGTCATAAGCCTTTTCCAAGTCCATGAACGCACAAAAAACTTTTTGGTTTTTCGTCAAAAACTTCTCCGCGATCATGCGCATGGAAAAGGCTTGATCTATCTGGGAATGGGGTGTCCCTTTCTAAATCCCGCTTGCACATCCCAAATTTTTTCATCAGTTTCTTTCATAACTCTTTCAATTAGTACCTTAGCATACAGTTTTCCCACAATGCTAAGAAGGCTGATACCACGGTATTTTTAGTCCTGCTGTGACCCTTTTCCTTTATATACTGGGACTATCACGGCTTTGCACCAGTCTCCCGGTACCCGCTTTAGTTCCCAACATAAATTAAACAAGGTGTACAGCAGGCCTGCCACGACTTCCTCTCCAGCCCTTAGCATTTCGAGTGAAACTCTATCATATCCGGCTGCCTTACCTACTTTCATGCTTTTCATTGCTTTCATTATTTCATCTATACTTATCTCTCTATCTCTTTCATCTTCTTTCGGAATTTCTATTTCATTTAGTTCACACTTCTCCTCATTCATAAATACGCTTTCAAAATATTCCTTCCATCTCTTTAGACTCAACACTTCATCATTCAGGATACAGCCATTCTCGTCTCGTATCGCATTCAATCTAGGCTGTTTTGAATGTCCCCTGGTATTTCTTACGAGTTTCCAGAACATTTTAATATTTGCCTGGAAGTTATCCGATATTCTTCTATCATTCTTATCAGTTCTTTCTTGCTTTTTCCTTTCAACTAATTCTTTTACTCTCTTATTTAAACGTTTAAACTCTGCCTTTTTTTCTCATTCTCATCATTCTTACCGCCAGAATTACCAGCTTTGGTCGCTAGTAAATCTAGCCATGCACTCTTCTTTTCTTCAACTTCCATACGTACCTCATCATCCCACCATAACGTATTGTCTTTCCTTTCATTCGTTCTCTTACTAACATCACATACTTCGGTAGCTGCATCCACTAAACCTTTCTTAACATTATGCCACACATTCTCCAAGTCTAACTCATTCACACAGAACTCATCCAAATTACTTATATTTTCTCTCAGTCTGCAATTGTACTTGTCTTTCACATCTTCATCTTGTAACCTCTCAATTCTTATACGCTGTAACGTAGTGGTAGACACAGATGTCCTATGCCGCCAACGTGAATAAACCCCTAATTCGGCATAAGACCAGGTAGTGGTCCGTCCCTACGTTGGACCCCCGGTAAACCCTTGTATCCATCACTGCGCTCCTCATTCTTTCATCCACAGTTATGAAATCTATCATGCTTCTATCATCACCTCTTTCCCAAGTATACATGTCAATCTTCTTATGACGAAAGAAAGTGTTTGTCACAAAAAGATTCCTTTCCACACATACGGTGAGGAGGCTTTCACCCCTTCTTCGCACCCCCGCCCCATTAAAGGGGCGCCGGGAACTCGGGGCCATTTCTTTTACTTTTTGCCTCATGGTGCGAAAACTAGGGCGTGCCATATTTTACGCCGCTACCCCACGGCGAGTAGCCGAGTCTGTTCTTTCGGCTTTGTCGGTCTTTTAGCACCACCCGGGGGAAACGTGTAGGGTGGGCCTAGGATTAGGTGGTCGAAGCCTACGGACGCGAGCGACTTATCCCCCTAAACTTTTACAATATTTTAAGCTAATTGAGCCACTTTTAGGACTAAAGGACATTAGAAATTTATTTATTTATTAATACACTAAGTTCTAACATAAGGTAACTAATTAACATTTCGTGTGCAATTAAGGAAACGAGAGAAAAAAAACCTATGTTGAAAATATGATTATTATAACACTGACAAATTTAAAGATTTCTTAATTTACGCGAACACTACACATAGAAATAATACTAGTTTTTACGGATTTTATCGCGTATATTTATACACAAGTTACATTTTTATCTACATTTTTATGAACAAAAGTTAATTTTTTATCTATGGTAACCGCTGTTAACTATGACATTTGGACGTTCAACATCTCAGTCCTCCCCGTGACCATGGGTGCTGTAAAGCGCTGGAAACGTCGGGTATTTATAGTTAAATATACGCAATAAAATCCGTAAAAACTAGTATTATTTCACTGACAAATTTAATTCAGATTCAGTTAGCGAATTGAGTGCTGCAACATTTTCAGTGATGGGTAACTAGATTATTCACAAGCCAAACTTTGAAAGAGAGCAGACTTAAGCTTTGATATTGATGTATTAAATAAATCAATATCTGTGATTTTTTTATTGTAAGTGTTAGTGGAACGATACACAAATGAGTTACGTGTATAATTTTTATAATATCGGGGAGTTACGAAAAGTGGTTTTGGACGTGAGGGGCGCATAGGCAGACGGACTCGGGAAACAAATGACAATCTGCTAAGTAACAACGAGGAGTCGACTAGGTTATTAATAATTTTGTATAGAAATACTATGTCAAACATTTTACGCCTATTGCAAAGAGAAAGTAAATTGTATTTTTTAATGAATCGGTGTATGACTGATTTAAAATATTTTGGCGATAATTTAGGGATTTATTAAACAATTTTTGAAGTCTTTCTATTCTCCTAATATGAAGTTCATAACAAGGGCCCCAACAGTGCTGCAAAAATCAAGGAAAGATCTGAGAAAAGAGAAGTATAAAATTTTTAGAGTTTCGGGACGTTTAAAGGGTTTACTTATTCGTAGTATAAAACCTAGATTTTTAAAAGCCGAAGCTAATATGTGCTCAATATGTGGAATAAATGATAAGGTCGAATCCATGATTATGCCCAAGTCCCTGATTGTGGTTACTCTATTCAAGGCCTTCTGATTTATGTGGTAGTCGTAAGTAACGGGATTTCTTTGCGAGTATACGATATTATGTAGCGTTTATCGATGTTTAGGAACAGATGGTTAAACTCATAGTATGCATGTAATTGGTGTAAGTCTTCTTGGAGTTTGTGGCAGTCAGTAATTGATCTGATGATTCGATACAACTTAGTGTCATCAGCATACAAGAGATGGTGACTATGTTTCAGGACATTGCCAATGTCATTTATATAGACTGAAAACAGTAAAGGCCCAATATGAGACCCTTGAGGTACACCCGAAGGTACTGGAAGAAATCGTGACGAATAACCCTTTACAAAGACTGCTTGACTCCTATTACTAATGTAGGATTGGATCCATCTAAGGAGGCTGCATTGCACACCGGCCCTTGCAAGCTTCTTTATTAGCAGATCGTGATTTATCTTATCGAAAGCTTTGGAAAAGGTAGGTCAAATCATATCCTTATTATCATCATCCATGGCATGCAACAGAAAGTCATTAAAAGTTAACATATTGGTGTCAACGCTACGGCACTTAAAGAAACCGTGTTGTTCCTGGGAAATGTGATTACGAAACGAGTACGACATTTGAGCGGTTACTATCTTTTCTAGGATTTTGCCAAAGATACAAAGTTTCGATATAGGTCTGTATTCGTCTATACATTCACGTCTCTTATTTTTTGGAATGGGGGTTACTAAAGACTCTTTCCATAAACTGGGAAATGTCCCAGTTTGGACAGAGAAACGAAATATGATTGTAATGGGTATTGCAAGTTCTTCGGCATATTCGGATATGAGAAGAGGATGGATCCCGTCGGGCCCTGCACTTTTATGAATATTTACTTGTTTCAGTTCTTTGATAACATTATCGTGGTAGATGTTAATAGAATGTATATCTACGGCTGAACTGCCTGAGTAAGAAATTGTATGATCAGAACTTTGACGGGTAGAAGGGATGAAAACTGAATGAAAATAATCATTAAAAGCCTCGCATATTTCACGGCTAGTGGAAATAATTTAAGCTTTATATATAATTTTTAGCGGAAATGCAACTAGAAGCTTTTTTTGACTTTACGAAAGACCAAAATAACTTTGGACAGGCTTTGATATTATCCTCAGAAAGTACAATGAATTTTTATAATATTCTGCCTCCATCTTCTTAAACCTCTTCCGAAGACAAGAGGTCTGGTAGTCTCGTAATGTTATATTAATATATGTATATATATAAAATAAATGTTATAGCTTCCATTTCTTATGATATTTAAGCTTTTCCTTTTCTAGTTTTATGAGACAAGAAATTCTATCAAATTGTTTAAAATTTTATAAAAATAACTCGTCATTGAATCAATATCCGTCATGGTATTAAAAACTTCCTACCAGTTAACAGTGTTAAGTCCAGTTTTTATCGAGCCAAAGTCAGCATTATGAAAGTTTTTTTTTTCTTAATTTTGGCGGAGAATAATGGGGCGGGGGATTTTAAATTCAAACTAATTACTAGGGATTTGTGGTGCACGTCCTCGGGTACTAACGGAAATTCAGGTCGCGTAACATTACATATTGTATTACTAAAAATTAAATTTAATAATCTATTATTAACATTAAATTGATTGTTGTATTGTAATAGTGACGATATATTCAAAAAATCGGGAGTAAGACATGCGAGACTATTAATGTTTGTACGTATTTCCATGCAATCACTAGAAGAATTAAAATACCAGTCAGCATAAGTGACGTTAAAATCGCCCAGTATTAGATAAGTATCGTCGGGATTTGAGATTATAAAATCGCTTACTCTGGTATAGAACGATGTCAATTGTGATTCGTGGTTACAACCGTGGGGTATATAAGTTGCTATAATATGTAAGCGGCGCTGAGCCGGGGATCGAGTATTAGACTCGTGCGGTGACGTCACGCAGCCCGCACGCGACAATGTTTCAATTAATGGGATAGATAACCAAACCTCTTCTGCCTGCGTCGGCGTGTACTCGTGATGGAGCTGCGACGGGCACAGGTTGCGCCGCACTGCGATCAGTACGCCGCCACCCATCCCGCGACCGCTAACCGTAACGTTGCGATCACATCGGTAAACCTCGTATCGACTGTCGAAGTATTCACTGTCATAGAAATTACTATTAAGCCATGATTCAGTGACACATACAACATAATTGTTACACAGAACTTCAGAAAATCGTAGGATTTTGTGCGTAAGCCCCTCACGTTTTGGTAGTAGATAGACAAGTTATTGTTTTAAACCACTGTATAGAATATACGGCAAAATAATATCACAGAATGAAATATTATGGATTCCACTAACATTCACAAATAATACAAGACAGCAATAACAGTATTTAAAGTTTCGTGAGAAATATATTTTACAACACTTTTTAATATGTAATGTTGTCTTATTAATATGTAATATTTGTAAAAAAAAAATCCTTTCAAGACATTAAAATAGATAACGACATACAGTCATTTAATTTTACTAAGATCCGCATAACATGATATAAGTTGAACTTTAGACGTATCATTTTTACGCAATAAAATCTTACAGTCAGACAACCACACGTATTTGTTTTCTTTCTGTTTGGCAAGAAGGTGGGTTTGTTTGTATAATTGTTTGTTGTGCGGCGCGAGGTGCTCATTGACGTAGATGGGACTGGTGGGCCCGCTTAGACCCGCGTCGGCAGTTGTTAATCCTCGTCACGCGCGCACAGCAGTCAGCAATTCGTTCTTGCGATATCTTTGTGAGAATCTGATAATGATGTTTGGTATGGAAGATGAGTCTAGAGAGGTACTGCTATCGTGTTTGGTAGGGATTTCGTTCCTCGTCGAGTTGAAACGTCGGACACGGTGAATGTAATCAATATCTGTTGGCAATAACGTAAAGCCGACCTTTGTAGCGATATTTTGTATAATATTATTTAAATTTTCGCCTTTTAAGAGTGGTATCCCAGAAATTTCCACGTTATTAATCCTCCCAAGCTGTTCCTTCGCTTTCAGCTGGTCAGTAAGATTAGTTGTTATGGATCGCAGCTCGGAAATCTCGCTTGAAACTAGATCAACACGCTGGGTAATTAAAGCTGTTGTGGAACTCAACTCGCAAACATCTTTTATCACAATAGCTTGTTCGTCAGCCAATTTTTTTATTGAATAGTTTACATCACTAATCTCTTTCTTAAATGAATTGATGTCCTCGCGAATGCTATTCAAAACACTCTTTATGGTATTGTTTTGAGAATCCAGCTTTGCTGTGAGCGTGATCATCATTCTATTACAAAACTCATCCATGAGTTGCTGTTGGTTGCAGTGACAGTCGGGCGTTTTCCTTTTTCTTGCAGTTATATTTAGGAAGTCACCATCGCTTATCTTCGATAAATCCGGCTGTGAGTTGGTTTTGGTTGGATTCCTTTGTACGCTCATATTATCAGGTGTTGCGAGAAAGGAGGTAGGTAGCAAATCCAAGCGAGGAGTGTGGAACAAACACTAAAGGTGTGAATGAAAAGTATGCACACTCGTCACTTCTACTTCGCGCGATGTCTGTGTCGAAGACCGTCGAAAACTTCCGACAGAGCAGAGACAGGGACGGAGGACCGGTCCTCTCAAACGTCACACACGATAAGGTCTCAAGCGAATTTCACCCACAATGCACAATTACAGAGAATACATAAATATTTAGTAAAGTTACTCTAATCGGACAACATGGCGGCACACGTGCGGCCTAGCAGGCGCTCATAATAAGACTGATGGAGCACCAGTGTCAATGGGCTTTTAATCGGAGCATGTACCGTCTATTACGATCTTGATGCTCCGATCGGCAAGAAAAATGGTGATCCAATTGCACAACTTCTCGGGAAGCCCATAGAAAGGAGGCTTCGTAAGAAGTGCTTTGTGCCTTTGTGTTTGTTCTTTTTCATTAAAATTATAATATTTATAGTAGTATTTATAGTACACAATAGGTATATAAATTATGTTATAACACGTCAGACTAAATTAATACTCACACATTTATTTTAAAAATTAATTTTCAATAAATATTATATATCAACTGATCATTCGTCATTTATATTATGTAAATAAAGTTTAAAAATTTTATTTAAAAATAAAGTTTAAATATTTGAAATTTACGAAACTGCTCATTCTCTATCTCTCTGCATCTATCTCTCTATATCTCTGCATTTATGAGTTGGGTAACCCAGAAGATCACTAGCGTAGCGAACACGGCGGAAATCGTATTGGCGGTCACTAATCAGCTGGTGTTCCTCAAGGTTTAACAGTGATAGAGCCATGCGGCAGCCTTTGCTGTTGCACGTATGGGCCGGCTCAAACCGGGGTGGTACCACGACCTCACAGAAGATCGGCGTAAAGTAGAAGCTTTGCTTCTGCATTTCGTCTAGTGAGTGCAGGTGGCCGGAGGCTCAATCCCCCCCCCCTCCCTTAACATGGTAGAGGAGTTAAATATAACACCACCTTAGGTGGTTACTAGCACCCCCGGTGACGGACAATCCCTCGCTGAGCATCCACGCCCAAACTCTCCTACTCTTCCTGAACGTGGGTGCTCAGGTTGCCCCTCGTATTTTGGTGTGAGGCAAACGGAGCAATAAGTCAAAGGCGCCACTGCCACGCTATCCGTGAATTTATGCAACATCAGGGGACTTCTTTCAAACCTTAACGCCGTCAACTACCATCTGGCGATAACGGCGAAGCAGGCCTTGCTCTTTCTAACCGAGACACAGGTGTCCTCTCCGACAATTTAAACACTCCTTTGTGCCCCGGGCTGGAGTTTGCGTGTACGTCAGAAAGGACATCTGTTTTCGACGCCTCGGCAGCCTTGAAGATACGGAACTGTCCATCTTATGGCTGCGCGTAGACAGTGACGACCATCCCCGCGTCTACGGGTGCCTCTATAGTCCCATAGCGGTAATGCTGACACAGAGCGACTGATCGACCACTTTCAGATGGATGTAGACTCCGTGTTATAACAGGTCCCATTCGCAGAGATCGTGATACTTGGTGATTTTAGAACCCACCACGCTGAATGGCTTGGTTCTCGTTTAACCGATCATACGGGTAGATGGCATTTGGTCTGACACAACTGGTTACCTCGCCAACGCGGATCCCGGATGTGGTGTTCCTCCCGTCATCAAGAGTCGAGTTGGACGCACCCGAGGTGGTGTTATACTATCATGATAAGGGAGGGTGGGGGGGGTATTGGCCCTCCGGCCTCCTGCACTCACTAGACGAAATGCATTGCATGCAACTTTAATTTGACGTGCCCTGTGAGCTTAAAGAGTCATGTCACGTCTTCATTTGAGTCGAGATGAAATGTTACGAGCCGTGCACATATTAGGAAATGGTGCTATTCAACGCGTCGTTGCTGAGGCCCTACATACCAGTCAATATGTGATATCAAGATTGTGGTTACGTTATCCTGCCCGGCATACTGCCTGAACGGCACACGGGTAGGTATCGTGTTACTACGCAGAGGCAGGATCGATTTCTTCAATGACCGCCAGAAGACAACTAAATATCGCTGCGACGCAACTACTACAAAGGCTCCAGGAGAATTACTAGCTGCTGGTCAGCGACCAAACCGTGCGAAGGAGGTTGCATGAAGTTGGTTTTCATGCTTGAAGACCGCTACGTGTTCCACTCATACCACGACGAGACAATCATGGTGTGGGTAGGAATTCATCTTGGCGGACGAACTCAGCTCGTTTGGATCCATGGTGATGGTGATGGTGATGGTGGTGGTGGTTGTGGTAATGGTGGGCAATTTGGCGGCGGCTGGCGGCGGCAGCGGCGGCGTGCCGCTCGGGCTGTAGTAGTTGGAACTGGTGTTGTGGCGGTGTGGCTGTGTGGCGTGTGTGGCTGTGTGACTGTGTGGCTGTGTGGCGGTGTGGCGGTGTGGCTGTGTGGCTGTGTGGCGGTGTGGCTGTGTGGCTGTGTGGCTGTGTGGCTGTGTGGCGGTGTGGCTGTGTGGCTGTGTGGCTGTGTGGCTGTGTGGCTGTGTGGCTGTGTGGCTGTGTGGCGGTGTGGCTGTGTGGCGGTGTGGCGGTGTGGCTGTGTGGCGGTGTGGCGGTGTGGCTGTGTGGCTGTGTGGCGGTGTGGCGGTGTGGCGGTGTGGCGGTGTGGCTGTGTGGCGGTGTGGCGGTGTGGCGGTGTGGCTGTGTGGCTGTGTGGCTGTGTGGCGGTGTGGCGGTGTGGCTGTGTGGCTGTGTGGCTGTGTGGCGGTGTGGCGGTGTGGCGGTGTGTGGCGGTGTGGCGGTGTGGCGGTGTGGCGGTGTGGCGGTGTGGCGGTGTGGCGGTGTGGCGGTGTGGCTGTGTGGCTGTGTGGCTGTGTGGCGGTGTGGCGGTGTGGCGGTGTGGCGGTGTGGCGGTGTGGCGGTGTGGCGGTGTGGCTGTGTGGCGGTGTTGGCCCGGTGTGGCGGTGTGGCGGTGTGGCGGTGTGGCGGTGTGGCGGTGTGGCGGTGTGGCGGTGTGGCTGTGTGGCTGTGTGGCGGTGTGGCGGTGTGGCGGTGTGGCTGTGTGGCTGTGTGGCGGTGTGGCGGTGTGGCGGTGTGGCGGTGTGGCGGTGTGGCGGTGTGGCGGTGTGGCGGTGTGGCGGTGTGGCTGTGTGGCGGTGTTGCGGTGTGGCGGTGTGGCGGTGTGGCGGTGTGGCGGTGTGGCGGTGTGGCGGTGCGGCGGTGTGGCTGTGCCGCGGTGTGGGCGGGTACCTTGGGCGCGCGCGGTGGCTGACGCGGGCGCGCGCGCGCGCTGGCGGCGGCGGCAGCAGCGCGCCGCTCGGGCCGTAGCAGGTGGAACGACAGCGCCTCGATCACCAGGTCCTGCGTCGCAGCCACAATCCAATTTCAACTACGAACGATACTGCTTTACAAATTATTTACAAATTTCTCATAATTAATTTATTACTAAAGAAATATTAATTATAATATGTGACAATTATACGATTACAAGAGTGACTTAAAATTAGATGGCATGAAATACGGCGAACTATGCCGTGATGTCGTTATACGGTGGGGCTTGGAAGCATTGTGGTGGATCGATGATGTTATTTTCTTCTACCTTCGGGTATGTTCTTGTACTTATATAATACAATTTAGCAACTTAAAACTTATTGAAAACAGACCGCGTTTTTTTATAGGATAATGGTGACAAACGGGAGTCCACCTAACGTCAACATCTATCGTTGATTAAGTATCAAACTATCCCTTTATCATACAAAATACGACAGCATTAAGGTACTATTTTACACTCGCATTTTCTCCAGTCGAACCTACCCATTCCTGTTGAACAAACATAATATGACCCTGGCGTGGCTCTACAGCATTATATGTTTGTGTTAATATGTAGTTTTAGATTACAAAATATTATAGCTTTCCGCCAATAAACGATTCTCACCAGAATTTATCCCATACACTGCTAACATTTACTTACAAATATTCAATAGAGTAAATCTGTAGATATATATAGAATCCCAAGAGAGAAGACCTATCTCTATTTATATTTCACGTCATGTCAATCATCTTAGATTTATAGCTCCAAATGTGCCACGATCGTTCTCGTGTATTTGTTACATTTAAGCACAAGTCTTTCTTCAATATAAAAGTACAAAGTTTCATCCTAACCTGTGTCAAAGAATGGGACATTCTCAAAATTCCACTCTAACGTTATGTAGTGCCTTGTAGGCCCCACAACAATAGGTATATGTTAGAGTTAAATTTATAGTAGAGATTGGTATACAGTTACGGCAACTGGTTACAGTTATTCACAAACTGACATATTTTCTGCCGCCGCAAACGGGATCGAAAATCGCATTTCGAAGACATCGACCATCGACCCGTGTCGTTTTTTAAGCTTGAAATGGCTTTTGTTTATTATTACTATGGTCAAAAATGTCACACGAGCTAATTTGGCTTAAAAACTGAGGACTTATGATTTTTTTATGAAAAAAATTAAATAAATGTATGGAGCAAATACGAAAAATCAATAACCCTGGAATCGCACAATTGCGCGTTATATCTTTACAGGGGGTTATAGTACCAATTATTTATGATTTTTGGCATACTTCATATTACGGAATAATGCCCTCTTTAAAAAAAGTCGTTAAAAAGTTTTTTCTTATTTTTCAATCTTGTTTTAATGCAGAAAGATAACTGACAAACCCTCCCACCCATGGTAATAAAAATATCTTTGATTCTACTGAGGTTTTCTAAGAACTAAACAATAACCAATATTAAAATGATTAGTGTTTGCTCGTACTACTAATGAGTCGTAATCAGAACTTTATAGAAGTCATTAATTAATAATGACTTTTAGATTTATGATATATACGTACTTTCACCATGTGTAAGGACTTCGGCGGGACCCCCACGTGGTCGGTTGACAGTAGTTGATAGTAAATGATAGTCAATACTAGGAAGTTGATGATTGATAGTTTATTGATAGAACCAACTAAATATAATTTAAGAATAGATGGGAAATGATACTGCGAGCAAGCGTGACCGGTATTGCTGGGCTCAATTAGCGCACTGACTCAAAATGCATTTTTGTAGCGTAATAGCGTAAACTGCCGACGCCACAAATATGTACGTGCTGCAGCCCGTACATGCTCCCGGGCTGAAAGATAGAGAGTCATGAAGATGAGATGAATTTAAAACTAATAATAACAAGGTGATAAACATTTTGGCTTAAAACTAGTTACAAATGATTAATGCAAAATAAAGACAATAACAGTGTATTTAGACACCCGTGTCCGTGATAGTAAACACCGATTGAAGCACTGGTGAGGTGCCACGGTTTTGTTTTTGTTTACGCGAGTTCTTAAATTTTTAATTTAATTCGCTAGAATGTCACCACTGTTACACTGCACTGCACTTGTTTGCAATTCTATATCTACAAATTGCACTCCACTATTATACCGCACTTCACTATTAAGCTTAACTTCACTACACTTATTTTGTACGCGATCGCGACCTGCCCGCCTCCGCGCGCGCTTCATGTGCCGCCACACGTATAATCCTCCGAATACTCCAGCCGTTATAATCACCAGGTACAGGACGGTGTAATGGTGAATGTCGTGATAGGATACACCTGCTGCTAACGGCTCAGTCTGTTTCATGACATCCAATTGTTCTCGTATGGCAAGCAGTTGTTGGTGGCTGATAGTCTCCAAGCTCCTGCTGAGGAACTATTTTTAAAAAAAAACGTCGAAAATAGCAGAATCTGACTCCAGGTAGGTCATATCCAAAAATTAAATTTGGGTTTCCTGAATCTGTATTAAGTCTTAAGTTTCACTAAATAGTGACTTTCTAGACTTTTTTGACATCCATATAAGGTCTTCTTGCTAATAAAAGTATTGAAAGTTAAGATAAGCACGTTAAGGATATGTTCGTTAGAAGATTTTCTACTCTTTTTTCGGGAATGATGTCCCCGAAACATTACATTTATTTAATTGTTGTCGTAAAAAAATCATAAGTCCTTAGTTTTTAAGGCAAGTTACTTCGTGTGACATTTTTGATCATAGTAATAATAAACAGATGCCATTTTAAGCTAAAAAAACGACACTTAAAATTTTAAAGGTCTGTCATCAAAACGCGATTTTCGACACAGTGTGCGCCTTACCGTTCGACTAATGCTATCTAGAACTTCTTTTCTTTCTATCCCCAAAAAATGACACAAGATACAGTCTTGTACCACCTTCATTCTTCGAATTCCTGCGTGTGTGACCAGGTAGGTCGCTGTCCCATCTAATGTCTGGTCAGAGTACACTTGGCTTATCACCAGCTTATGCCATTAGCACGTCCTGCGCTAGCAGCGGCAACCGCAGTGTTACACACACTGCGCATTCTGCACACTCTGGGCACTTTGCACACTTTGCGCACTCTGCACACTCGCGGACTCCGCACACTCGCGCACTCTGCACACTCTGCGCACTCCGCACACTGTGCGCACTCCACCTCACACTCTGCGCACTCCGCACGGTGCACTCTGCGCACTCTGCACACTCTGCGCACTCAGCGCTCACCTTGACGCGCAGGCCGGCGCTGGCGAGCGGCTCGGCGGCGGCACGCGCCACCAGCACATCCTGTGCCAGCAGCGGCAGCCGAACGTGCTCCAGTAGCGCACCCAGGTGCTGCTGCCGTTCCTGCACACCACGTATATAAAAGTTTTCATAATGATTTCTTATATTTACGCGAACACTACACATTGAAATAATACTAGTTTTTACGGAATTTATCGCGTATATTTTAACTTTTTAAATACCCGACGTTTCGAACGCTTTACAGCACTCATGGTCACGGGCGGGACTGAGATGTTCAACGTCCATACGTCATAGTTAACCGCGGTTACCATAGATTAAAATTTAACTTGCAGTTGTATGCTTGGGTTGGGATTTAATGTTATTTATTATAGGATCCCAAGCAGATGGTAGCACCCAGCCATCTTCTCTATTGAAATTAGGATGTTTTTTGATTTCAATAGCCTCGCGAATCATCCTTGGAAGGAATCGGTGTTCTTTAGCAAGGATCTGCGGTCTATCAAATCTGATGTAGTTACGGGGGCGATCCTGTACGTGTTCACAGACTGCAGACTTCCCGGAGCGTCGATTCTTCACATCAGCTATATGTTCTTTAACGCGGGTTTTTATTGATCTTTTAGTTTGTCCTATGTAGGAGAGACCACATTCACAATCAAGCTTGTACACTCCTGCATCTTGCAGAGGGACATTACACTTGACCGATGGTAAAAACTGACCAATCTTCTTCAGCGGCTTGAAGTATGTTTTGATGGAAGCGCGCTTCAACCAATCTTCTTCAGCGGCTTGAAGTATGTTTTGATGGAAGCGCGCTTCAAGATGTAGCCAATCTTGTCAGTGACTCCTCTAACATATGGCAGTACAGCAGGTACACGCTCGACTGTGGCCGGCTTCGCTCGTTCACTGTGACGTAGGCGCGGGACTCGAAGCTTGTTGTCATGCAAAACTTGCTTGACATGGTGGAGCTCTGCTTTACTAAAGTAACTGCATTTTTAGACCATCTTAACTCTATAAATTCTAAAATTCAGTTCACAATGGAGTTAGAGGCAAACAATTCCTTAGCTTTTCTAGATGTGTTAGTAATTCGGAATCCTGATAACACCTTGAGCCATACTGTGTATAGAAAAAAGACCCATACAGATAGATATTTAAACGGTGATTCTCACCACCATCCTTCACAGTTAGCTACCGTGGGTAAATCTTTGTTTCAGAGAGCACGAGGGATCTGTGACAGTAAACACCTGGCTGCAGAGCTCCACCATGTCAAGCAAGTTTTGCATGACAACAAGCTTCGAGTCCCGCGCCTACGTCACAGTGAACGAGTGAAGCCGGCCACAGTCGAGCGTGTACCTGCTGTACTGCCATATGTTAGAGGAGTCACTGACAAGATTGGCTACGTCTTGAAGCGCGCTTCCATCAAAACATACTTCAAGCCGCTGAAGAAGATTGGTCAGTTTTTACCATCGGTCAAGTGTAATGTCCCTCTGCAAGATGCAGGAGTGTACAAGCTTGATTGTGAATGTGGTCTCTCCTACATAGGACAAACTAAAAGATCAATAAAAACCCGCGTTAAAGAACATATAGCTGATGTGAAGAATCGACGCTCCGGGAAGTCTGCAGTCTGTGAACACGTACAGGATCGCCCCCGTCACTACATCAGATTTGATAGACCGCAGATCCTCGCTAAAGAACACCGATTCCTTTCAAGGATGATTCGCGAGGCTATTGAAATCAAAAAAACATCCTAATTTCTATATAGAAGTTAGTTTTGTGCTATCATGTGCTTGGGATCCTATAATAAATAAAATTAAATCCCAACCCAAGCATACAACTACAAGACTTCAAGATACCATAAGTTCATACTGCATAGATCGGAACAAAAGTTAAATTTTAATCTATGGTAACCGCGGTTAACTATGACATATGGACGTTGAACATCTCAGTCCTGCCCGTGACCATGAGTGCTGTAAAGCGTTCGAAACGTCGGGTATTTAAAAAGTTAAAATATACGCGATAAATTCCGTAAAAACTAGTATTATTTCAATATAAAAGTTTTATCACACTTCCGCGTATAACGACCATGACATGCTCCATATTTTTACATTTATTCAAAAATGTGCAAATAATTAAACAATATTTATCACTATCTAAAATAAATCCTGATTCTGTATCTATAGTGTAAAGTTCTTACATCTGGATTATGTTGCATCCACCGAATAACCGCATCTAGAACTACTTCTTCGTTCGGCACCTGGAACAAAGAGTTATAAACTTACGGATAATACACAATTTCTATTAGTATATAGTATAACATGAACGGTTGTCACTTCTACGACAGACACGACCAGCCCACTGCCACTTCAGTTTACAAGCTCGGAAGGCTATCTCAGTAATCTTGGTTCTCCGGCGGATTTCTTCATTTCCAATTTTTAGCTGGGTCATATCTGTCGCAGAAGTGACAACCAGTGCAGTAGACGTGTTACGGAGTGGAGACCGCGTCAAGGCAAACGTAGTATGTAGGACGCCCCATGACCAGATGGAGCGACGTTCTGCGCAAAGTGGCTGGTAGAAACTGGATGCGTGTAGTGAAGATCGGGCTAAGTGGCGCGCCTTGGGAGAGGCCTATGTCCTCAACAGTGACCTGCCGCAGGCTGACGATGATCATGATAACATCAACGATTATATTTAAATAAAACTAATTATTTAAATATAATCGTTCATCAATTTCATTAATATCATTTATCTATTTATATACTTATTACTTATCGCTACGCCACATACCCTACCAAAACAAAAAAAAAGTTAAATATAGAAACATTTTTGGATAAGATACTACGAGTACACATTACAAGAATACACACATACAGTTTAAAATGTTAAAACATGTTAAACCGTAAAAAAATTAAAAATTCATAAACATTTTCCGACAACAAAACATTCTTAAAATAATAATACAGTGTAATAATATAGCAATATGTCATCAGATAAAAATATAAGTGTCTAAACAAAGGTGTAGTGGTACAATATCGAAATGTAATACACAACATCTGTACGTTTGGTACAGTCACAATCACAAGTCTTAATAAAAAATATTATTGTTCAACATAAAGTCTAGTCCGATTTTTATGAACAGTTTTTTCTTTTTTGACTAATTTCACAACATTCCGCGATAAATATTTGACAACTGAAAGGAGTTCTCAATATAATGGATGAAGTTTATTACTATTTTCATTTTTAACCAATACTAAATCTCCACATTTATATGTTATTGGGTTTATTTATACTATTATAATTTATTTTTCTTAAAGTTTTACAATTTATAAGGTTAGTTTTAGCATCATTTTGTGACTTTTGTAATCGGTATTTTAGTTCTATTGCATAATTGTCTAAAATGTAAATTGGATCTATTGTTGTTGTAAGATTACTTAGTAAGTTATATTGTTTGCCAAATACTAATTCGTACGGTGTAAATTTTGTACTTGAATGTACTGAAGTGTTATAAGAAAAACATCAATAAGGAACCCATGAACTCTATTCATGACTATAACTGTTAACTTCCATTCTCAATAAAATGTTAAATATTTATGGCTATTTCCTAGCGATCGTAATGATTGATGATGGAAGGCTTTAGACTTTAATTGAATTATATTTAAAATTTTAAACACCTCTCCCATTGTAGAATCCATAAATTCTGTTCCTCTATCGGTCACGATCTGCCGAGGAATGCCGTATCTAAGCATAAAATTATTTACTAGACTTGTAGCTACTTTGCACGTATCCTTACCTGCTGTCGGAAATGCCTCGACATATTTGATGAGATCGCTTATCTCTTGTACAAACCGTATAAATATAGTCATAGATTCTTTTATGATATTTAAATATTTATAACGTTGACATTTACTACACTTCTTTATAAAAAGCTTAACATCATGCTCTAACCCTGACCATTTATTAACAGTTAAAGAAAAAATATTAAAAAAAATTGCTAAGTATTTTAAAAATTACAGGCATTTATAAAAAAAAATCGAGAAAATCTACACCTGTGACGGTCTTTTAACTCCCGTTGCTACAAATTTTAACTTATTTTATAATGTAATCCTTAATACTGCTTCTGACAACTTTTGCTTAAAATTTACAGCCAATTCTCCAGTCCAGAAGGAAAAGTATATTTTTTTCCCAACCAAGTATTCAAAATTAATACTTAGCCCAGTTTTAAATGACTGTAAAAAATTACAATAAATACTACACGAGTATGGCAAGTAACTTTAAAAGTTGGCGCATTTAATAAGGATTACAAAATGTATACGTGCAAGATTATTTGTTAAATAATGTAAAAAAAAATTTTTCAAAGAAACAGTTGTAAATTAATTTTCCTTACCTGCCTAAAATGATTTTGTAATATTAAAATTATTAATTATGTAATATTTAAAATACATAGTGTGACGACGCATTATTAATATTAATAATATTAAACTTATATATAAAGCCGTCTAAAATTAGCTGAAAGTAATATTTTAAACAATAAAAAATACATTAATAGCATAAAGTAAAAATACATTCATTTAATTATTATAGTAAAGTAAGGGCTTAATATTGACTTAAGAAATCATTAAATTTATTAAATTTTTATTAAATAATAGATAAATAACATTTATATTTTATAATATATGTAATTGGAAAATTGGTCAAAAATTTCCTATTATATATCATTTATTATATTATATATTTATTTTTCGGATTGGGGTGTGTGTTGTTTGATAGAACTTTTAAGTGTAGCAAGCATATTTAATAACATGTCTTAGTGCATTAGCGCAATGATACGTAGATTTTGACTACTGGCGTCTTAGTAGTGTGCTAATATGATATGTTGGTGTTATTTTTAGTTAACAACAATACCAACTTTGTTACCAAAGTCGATAAGGATCATGTGGGTGTGTTGTGAGGGGGCGCCATCCGTATGACAGTTGCATTGATGCTTACTGCTACTTGCGGTATTGCGTCTTGTGATGGATCTGCTAGTGTGCTGCGCCTGATTTGACGCATCTTGTGTTTCAGGTCGACGGAGGTATGCGGGTGGTAATGATTGCTGGGATTGGATTGACCTTGGGTCGGTGTAAGCCCGACGATAGTCGTATTGATGCTTGTTGCATTTTGCAGCATTGCGTCTTTGCGATGGTCGATCGGCGGGCATTCTCAATGGCGCTTTCTGCATCTGGTTTGACTCATACCTAAGTAGCTTTGTCTAAGTCGGGTCCCTTCATTACGGGGCTGTATACTGTCTGACCTACATGATGTTTTATATAACTACGAAATAATATATCTCTGTTAATTTCCCTGTGAATTTATTAGCTTTGAAAAAGGGCACATTTAGGTGGTTATTGTAAAGTAACCTGTAAGTAGTCATGTGTAAGTAGTTTGAATAGCATGCAAATACATTTTTTATAATTAAGTTCACTATATTAAAATATCGAATTCAATTAAAATATTCATCATAAAATTGTCATCGTTTACAAATTAGCAATACTAATACCAATACATACAAATTTAAATATAGTTAAAATTAATTTTGGCAGGGCTGTTATATTAATAAAAAAATATATAGTCCTAGGTTCATTTTTGTTGTTGTGTCACATCAAATTTCGGAAGTCATTCACATTATAAAAACAATTATCATTTAGCCACCTGTAAAGGGCGTCTTTAAATCTATTAAGGGGTAAGTCTTTGATATTTTGGGGTATTTTATTAAATATGAGCATACACATCCAGTAGCAGTTTTTTTTTAAATCAAGCGCTCTTGGGTATAATTTCAGCAGCAAGTTCTTGTTGGTGGGCGAGACAAACGTGATCTAAATATGCATGTACTCAACATCAGTGACACAAACCCTTTGATGGCAAATTATTACTATTATCTTATAGCTTATGTCCACCATCAACCAATCCAACGACCAACACAACGGTAGATATAGCCTTTTGGCTATATTTACCGTTGTATTGGTTAGTGGAGCAATTGTGTCAATCTCATGCGGGTGATAGCTGGAGGGAAGATCTGAGGAGACTCTTAAGGCTGGGGCAGAAAGCCGCGCAACGTGGGACCCCATTCCCTTGAGGTGAGCGGTAGACTCATGACACGCTCTGCTGCTAGTAGCCGTGCTGATCATGCAATCGGTGGTGATACCATACACTTACATTATGTCTACAGGAGCGGCGATCTGGCAGGTGGTGGTGCTCATTGAGGGTTTTTTGGCCAGTGTGCCTCGTTTATTCGACTAATTATTCGACGTGTCGCCTAAACCGTGTGACGTACATTCACTGTGGCTGCATTTGATCGTATTCTGCCGTAGTATGGCGTGTACACACATTGACGCGCGCGTTTACGGTCGATGTTTGTGCTTATGCACCACCAAAGAGCCAAGCCCTCTTTTACTGGTTCGCCAGTTATTTTGTTGTGCACTACGGTTCAGTTCCCAACTTAACATCCTCTTCGGGGGGAGCACTTTAGTTGGTTGGCGTTCACCGCACACGGCATGTGTGGAGCCGTGCGCCTCCCCAACATTTTCTTTAAATGTGAGAGAGCGAAGCCCTTGTATCTGGTACTTTTATATAAATATTGTGAGCGGGGGGGGGGGGGGAAGAAGTTTTAGGGGGGGGGGTGGGGGGGAGGGGGGGGGGGTGGTGGTTTGCTTTCCTAAGCGGGAAGGAATTAATTAATAAGAAAATGATTGATGTAAACCTGATGATACAAGTGGAATAGGAACGATTTAATGTTCTTAACTTGGTTCGAGCCCCGTGTTCGTGAACGGGGTTCCGTAGCTTAAAATAATATAAGACACTACCAACGGCATTCGATTGCTCTATTGTATATTCATTCTTCCAAGACACCTAAAAACTAAGTTATAAAATGACTGTGCAATTGCAGCTACAGGGAAGTAGTATTATCAATTAAGGGTTTATTGCGAACGTCTACATCAAGATTATAATATGAAAGAAAATCAATACCTATGATAGCTTTTGTGACAGCAGCGACTATAAATTGCTATGGAAACTCTCTACTTAAGCCCAAATTAAGTTTAAGATTAATAAACATATCTTTGAATAAATAAATCGGATGCCATGGTGTTTTTATTAATTTTAAAACGTATAGGTTTGGGTTTAATTTTTTAATTATAGGTCAACAGTCAGTTAAAATAGTAAATATGAATTATTTTTTTATGTGAGTGTTCGCGTAATTTAAGAAATATTGAAAACCATATCTGTTAATTATACTTCCATTCGCTGCTGAAAGCTGTAAGTCGCTTTCTGTCGATGCTCCTTGATTGCGTTGTAGGAAAAAACGCAGAGGTCGCTGCCGGTGTCCACCAGGAACTCTGTCTTCGTTACGTGGTCCTTGACGAAAAGGCGAGTCATCGAAGCTGGGCAGTAGTCAGTCGCCATTAGCGATTGCCCGCGGAGTTTTCCCGCCATCTGGTAGTAGCAAGACTTAACACACCAACGGGCATTGGCGCCATGCTTACAGTGGTACCAGCATAATGGGAACTTTTTATAATTGGAGTTAGACCGCATTCGCTGACGTGAGGTTGACTGACGTCGTTGTGGTCTGGATCGATTGCTGCACCGTCGGTTTCAACGCGAGTGCTCTTCTAGCTTGAGCGCAAGACGCCCCACCATTTTCTTCAGCTCTGCGATTTCATTTGCAGGTTGAGTCACTGCAGCGCTGGAAGACGCGACCACTACATTACAGGTTGTTGTGATATCCTGTATGCGGTCCGCAAGGTCAGCTAATTCCTCCAAGGAATGATTCGGTTGAGATGCTAGTACTATCTGAATGTTGTGAGGGAAACAACTACTCCATATAGATCCATCAGATGCCGAAGAAACTGCGACGGTTTCCGATCTCCGAGCTCGTCGTGCTTTAGTAACTGCTTTACTTTTTTTCTCATGAGACGCTGATGGACGCCTAATTAGCTCCGTCTTTATCTTGTTGTAGCGGTTATACGCCGGAGGATTCACGATAATGTCTTTCACCGCTTTAGGACACATAATATCTAAATTTATTACCACGTTCGTGAATTTTGTAGCGTCGTCAGTTATATTAGAGTTCCCAAACTGACTTTCTACTAGTGCAAACCAGATTTCCGGGTCATCTGGAGAAAATGAAGGCACCTTTATATTAGCTTTCCGTGCGTCCGCCATTTTGTCGCACTCGCTCCCTGTAGGAACGCGCACACGTTAAGCACGCCGAACGGTCACTTTACTAGGTTTCTCCGTTGAACTCTCGGTTTTTACCGAATCACTACTGTCACTCATTTTAGTGTTGATTAGGGGTCATTAGTGTAGTGGCTATATGTAAATGTTTATATAAAGAGTCCACAGATTCTCAAACAATATAATTTATTAAAATACACAACACAATTATTAAATATCCGAAGGAGAATTAATAGAATGACAGCAAATTTATGAAAAATAATAATACACAGATTCCGTAATAAATAGTCAGAAGTTAAAAAGCAACTTATGAAATAAACAGTCTCATCAGCATAGGCACGAGGATGTATTTTGGTACCGCGTTAACAATAGAACAGCGGAACTATGAGCTACATGCGCTTACGCGTATCGAGTCTCGAGTACTCTGTTGAACTGTGCACGGCGGCGGGCCGACCGAGGAACCAGTTCTACGAGAGCGCCTTCAACATACATGAGTTGTCAATGTAGAGTTGAAATACTATAATACATAAGTTAGTAATAAGTGTATGTTTTGTGTATGTATTATATAATATTATAGGCTTCATAAACGTGATGTTATTTACTTTTTGCATACGTTAAATACATGTATATATGTGTACAATAAATGCAGCTATATTATGACATTATGAGTTATATAATAAATATTAAAAATATTATAGATATTGAACATTTGTGTTTGTAAATAGATATACCACAAACGTATAAATGCGCCCACTGTGGATAGTCCATTTAAAGGGCAAACAACGAGCCAGTATAATGAAAGACTATCAGACATTGTATGTTAGTTCTGTGTGAAACTGCGGACATTTATTGCATATACAAATATCAATAAAAAGAGTTTCATACTAACCATAATGCGATCGCTGTCTAGCAGCTGCGCCAATGTTTCCGGAGCGAGAGCGAGGAACTCCTCAGTCTCTAACACCTGTAATCAATAGTATGTATTTAAAGCACAGATTTTATTCGCATCGGAGGTGAGGATTAATTGAAAGTAGAACCATCACATTAGAAAGACATATTTGATGGAAAATTTTCAAATCCGGAAATATCGACTTTTCGGGTTTGTTTCGACAAAAAAACGTTATACGCTACATACTACACTGCACGCTACAAGCACCTCTAAGTGGCGGTGCACGTAGCGCGCAGCACAGAGCGTGAGGTCATTGCAGGCGTGCAGGTCAGTGAAGGCGCGGGTGCCGAGCGCGTTGTCCGGCGCTAGTGCGGCGGCTAGGGAGCGTGCGCACGATACACGCACATCTACAAAGTGGCGGTGCAGGTGCGCGCGAAGGCGCGGATGCCGAGCGCGTTGTCCGGCGCCACCGCGGCGGCCAGGGAGCGCGCGCACGCTACAGTACACGCTACAGTGCACGCTACACGCACCTCTACGAAGTGGCGATGCACGTAGCGCGCGGCGCAGAGCGCGAGGTCGCTGCAGGCGTGCAGGTCGGCGAAGGCGCGGATGCCGAGCGCGTTGTCCGGCGCCACCGCGGCGGCCAGGGAGCGTGCGCACGCGCTGCGCACGCCGGCCACCTGCACCAGCGACGCCGCAGACAGCACGCTCTGCGCACACACTTCCACGTCACTTTAATGCTTTCACTGCGATGCTCCGCAATGAGGGCATCCACTACTTTTTCTGCCACCAGGGCGGCGTCACTTTGAAATGAGGTGTGTTATTTTTGATGGATTCCATAGCGGCGGAAGTAAATTTGCTAGAAAAGTGTTATGTTCTTAGTGGTCGACATTCAACCGTAGTTCATAAATTTTCAATTTTCCTTTTTTAATCTTAGAGATAACTCGCGTCAGTAGTAACTAAAACGAGCTCCGAGCATGAGGAGTTACAAACAAGCTGTATTTAAGTTCATTTTCTATCAGCATTTTTTATTTAAATATTTTATTTGCTTACGCCGCTAATAATTATTAATAATAGTGCATTGTGCACTATGCAATACGGATTTCAATGATGGCGATAAGTGTGGATCGTGTAAAAAGGAACTTTGTTTTGGCTGCTCAAATATAACCGAAGCTGGATATAGAAAGCTAGGTGCCAATCGTAGGGCTGCGTGGACGTGCTTCCATTACCGGAACCTTGTATCTGCTCCTTCATCGTCAACACCAACCGCGATACCGCCATTCCCCACCCAACGCTGGAGGGCCTTCGATTGATTTAGTTCTGCAGAAAATACGTGACCCAAAGAGCAGCTTCACTGTTCTACCAGCTCTCATTAATGACATAAAAGGCATAAGGCGTATAGACGGAGATACGAAAACTAGCTTTTAATGTACGACACGTTACACATTACAATAATATTAACTGTGCTTCGCTCCTACAGACAGCTTACAACATTAACGAAGGAATCGAAAAGTTTGCCACCTTTATAAGAGCGTTGTTCCTTAACGTTCAAATATACTGTCCTACCAGGTAGAAGCAGCTATTTTACGGTCTAGGAATCCCTAGTCAAGCTATATAAACAAAAGCAGGCTTCGGACCCTATATAGAAAATCGGAGTACATCTTGTTAGAGTGATTTATCTACGCATAACGCCATCTAGTTTGATTTTTGTAAGTTAATAATGTAATGTTACAGTCTCCCCCTCTGTCTACGTAGGTGTCCCAACAAGTAAGACAGGAATTAATTGGATTTCTTATTCAGTCGACCTCTTTTCCGGAGTGCGATTACAAATTGTGGTATTTCAGCATTGCTTAATTCCCGCTGGTACTTTGGTATCACAATGCGCAACTTCAAATGAACTTGGCCTATATCTATGCGTGATGACATAAGGTCCGTCTCGCCGGGGTGCAAGCTTTGAGCTAAATCCATGACATGATGTAGCCCTGCTTAGGGTATGCGAGTCCACCAGTACTAGGCTTCCAGGCTGATAGTTCGGCCTTTTTGGCTTTTTTGATCCACGTACTCTTTTCTCTGTTTCTCTTTCATTTCCTGAATTTCTTTTGCTCTTTTGATTGTTTCAGACATCATTAACGATCTCGGTAGTATGTCTTGAATAAAGGTTTCGTTCTGAATTACGTCACGTGTCTTGTATCACGTCATCTGGAGTTCTTAGCTCTCGCCTGAATGTGAAGTAAGCTGGAGTAAGCAGTATTCATAGCAAAACGTACTCGTATGCAAGGTAACTTATCGGACCATAAAGTGTGGTCACCCTCGACTAAAAAAAGTTGTTTTAAAATCACGATTTCGTCTCTCTACTGGGTTAGTTTCAGGATGGTATACGGGTGTCAATCTATGTTGTATGTTCAGGCAGAATGTTAGCTGCTGTATCACATTGCTGACAAATTGTGAACCGTTATCCCTAATAAATCGGCGTGGAGTACCATATCTCAGTATTATATCCTTAAGCAGTATTTTTGCACATTCCGCCATTGTTCTAAAGCAAACAAATGCAGCCCACGTGTCACATCTGCTACAGTGAAAATCCAATTTGTTTGTTTGGTGTACGGGGTAATGGCCCGAAAATGTCAAATGCCACTACTTCAAACCGTTGGTTGCTTATCTTAGTTTGTGTGATACCTGCTGACTTCTGATTAGGTTTTATCGTTGACAATGCAAGCATTTACGAACATAAACCTCAATCTGTCGCCTCACTCCTGTCCAACAATATCGCCGCGTAATACGTTCGATTGTCTTCATCGAAAAATTGTGTCCAGCTATAGCTTTATCGTGATATGTTTGTATGATTTTAAACTGTTCATGTTTTGGTACAACTATCTGGGCTTCTTCGGTATTATTCTTGGTTCCGATACAATAACCCTTGATTCATGACGTAGCCTTTTCGGCTCCAATATCTGGCTTTTTCCTCATCTGACCCTTCTAAACATTCTACTATCTTGACTATTTGTTCATCCTTTAACTGCTCAGCTTTTATATTTTCGAGTCGTTTACGTGGCATATCAGTAACGACATAGCAAACGCCACAATCCACTTCGTTTTCAGGTTCACAAATTGGTCAGGACATGCAATCGGCAACTACATTTGTACCAGTGATATATTTTATCGTTAGGTCAAAAGGTTGACGTTGTAGTGTCATGCCCAGCGTGCTGTAGGGGAATTAAGGGGCATAAGCCACTTGAGAGCTTGATGGTCAGTCAAGACTGCTAGTTTTGCTCCTTCTATATTATAACCTCTAAATTTGTCTACAGCCTACACCACAGCAAGAGCCTCTCATTCCGTTGTTGAATTGTTGCGTTTAGCTTTCGTTAAGAGTCAACTGGCATACTTGACAGAATGTTCTTTTTCGCCCTCCCCCTGCACCAATACTGCACCGATAACGTAACTGCTGGCATCAGTTTTGAGGATGTAGGGCCTTGTTTCATCTACTTGTACAACTACAGGTGAAGTTGTTAATAGCTAACACAATTCTTCAAAAGCCCTTCTTTATTCGTCTTCCCATTTCCACTGAACATTCTTTTCGTTAAACGTGTGAGTGGCTCAGCAATCTTCGAAATTGGGCATGAAGCGCCGGTACCAGGAGTATATTTGGATAAAAGATAACAAACGATTGTGATTTTGCGGAGGTGGCATCTTCAATATAGCATTGATGTTATCAGGATCTACTCGTAATCCATTAGGAGTAATATAGTGACCCAAGTATTTGAAATTGGAACAGCAAAACATTGCACTTTTCTATTAGGGATTAAGTTAAATTCTTTGAGTCTATTAAAGACACTTGTAGGTCTTTAAGTTGTTCATCGAATGTTGCAGACATCACGATCAAATCATCAAAGTACATAAAAAGTTTAATGTGGCTTAGGGTTATCCGAAACCTGTCCATCATTTTTTTAAAGATAAAGATAAAGATACATTTATTGCATAACTGTGTACAATATGATCTTAGTACAAAAACATATAGTTTTACGCTCAACAGTTTACCCATTTCGGAAATGCAACAATTAAAAAAATAAATTTTAAATTTACTACTTATTAACATTGATATTAACAATAACTCATTGAGATTGTAAAAAGCATTTTCAATTAACAATTTCTTTAATTTTGTTTTAAACATATTTCCATTTAATTGTTTAATAGCAGGTGGTAACCGATTGTATACACGAATAGCAGTAATATAGGTACTCTTATAGTAAATCATATTTTTAATAATAGATAAGCTAATATCATTATGCCTCTTTCCTTTTTGGGCACAATAACAACGAGTGCTGCTCAAGGTGAAGTACAAGGTTCGGTAATACCTTTATTAAGCATTTTGGTGAACTATTTTTGGGCACAATAACAACGAGTGCTGCTCAAGGTGAAGTACAAGGTTCGGTAATACCTTTATTAAGCATTTTGGTACCTATTTTTGGGCACAATAACAACGAGTGCTGCTCAAGGTGAAGTACAAGGTTCGGTAATACCTTTATTAAGCATTTTGGTGACCTATTTTTGGGCACAATAACAACGAGTGCTGCTCAAGGTGAAGTACAAGGTTCGGTAATACCTTTATTAAGCATTTTGGTGACCTATTTTTGGGCACAATAACAACGAGTGCTGCTCAAGGTGAAGTACAAGGTTCGGTAATACCTTTATTAAGCATTTTGGTGAACTATTTTTGGGCACAATAACAACGAGTGCTGCTCAAGGTGAAGTACAAGGTTCGGTAATACCTTTATTAAGCATTTTGGTGACCTATTTTTGGGCACAATAACAACGAGTGCTGCTCAAGGTGAAGTACAAGGTTCGGTAATACCTTTATTAAGCATTTTGGTGACCTATTTTTGGGCACAATAACAACGAGTGCTGCTCAAGGTGAAGTACAAGGTTCGGTAATACCTTTATTAAGCATTTTGGTGACCTATTTTTGGGCACAATAACAACGAGTGCTGCTCAAGGTGAAGTACAAGGTTCGGTAATACCTTTATTAAGCATTTTGGTGACCTATTTTTGGGCACAATAACAACGAGTGCTGCTCAAGGTGAAGTACAATGTTCGGTAATACCTTTATTAAGCATTTTGGTGAACTATTTTTGGGCACAATAACAACGAGTGCTGCTCAAGGTGAAGTACAAGGTTCGGTAATACCTTTATTAAGCATTTTGGTGACCTATTTTTGGGCACAATAACAACGAGTGCTGCTCAAGGTGAAGTACAAGGTTCGGTAATACCTTTATTAAGCATTTTGGTGACCTATTTTTGGGCACAATAACAACGAGTGCTGCTCAAGGTGAAGTACAATGTTCGGTAATACCTTTATTAAGCATTTTGGTGAACTATTTTTGGGCACAATAACAACGAGTGCTGCTCAAGGTGAAGTACAAGGTTCGGTAATACCTTTATTAAGCATTTTGGTGACCTATTTTTGGGCACAATAACAACGAGTGCTGCTCAAGGTGAAGTACAAGGTTCGGTAATACCTTTATTAAGCATTTTGGTGACCTATTTTTGGGCACAATAACAACGAGTGCTGCTCAAGGTGAAGTACAAGGTTCGGTAATACCTTTATTAAGCATTTTGGTGACCTATTTTTGGGCACAATAACAACGAGTGCTGCTCAAGGTGAAGTACAAGGTTCGGTAATACCTTTATTAAGCATTTTGGTGACCTATTTTTG